GACCTTTTGGTTAGCAGCTGTAGCAGTTAACCACTATGCCATCAGGGTTTCCCAGCAAAGATACAGACAATCTGAGGGCCACAATCAACCATCTTGACCTCATAGACATGTATTGAACACTCCACCCAACAGCAGCAAAATATACATTCTTTTCCCATGCACATTGAATATTCTTCACAAAGCAACCCTCAACAAAATCCAAAACATTGAGATAAATAGAAAGCATCTTCTCTGATCACAATGCCATAAAAGTAGAAATTAATAACAGGAAGAGCAAGGAAAAAAAATAAAATATACAGAAACTGAATAACACCTTGCTTAAAAACCACTGGGTAATAAAAGAAATCAAAGATAGAATAAAAAAATTCCTATAATCAAATGAGAATTTAAATGCATCATACAAAAATCTTTCGGACATAGCAAAGGCAGTGCTCAGAAGTCAGTTTATAGCAATAGGCACACACATCAAAAAAGAAGAAAGGGACAAAATCAAAACATTAGCCCTACAACTTGAAAAAATAGAAAGAGAACAGCAAAAGAAACCCACAGCCACCAGAACAAAGGAAATAATAAAGATCAGAGCAGAAATAAATGAAATAGAGAATAGAAAAAAATCAAGAAAACCAAAAGTTGGTTCTTTGAAAGGATCAACAAAATTGACAAACCATTGGCCAAACTGACAAAAGAAAAACAGGAGAGGAAGTAAATAACCCAAATAAGAAATTAAATGGGGTACATTACAACAGACCCAAAGGAATTAATAAAGTTTATAACAGAGTACTATGAAAAACTGCACTCCAACAAATTTGAAAACCTAGAGAAAATGGACCAATCTCTAGAAACACACTACCTACCTAAACAAATAGAAACTGAAGTGAAAATCTGAACAGACCCATAACAAGAGAAGAGATTGAAGAGGTAATTTTAAAAACTCCCAACAAAAAATGTCCTGGCCTGGATGTCTTCACTGGAGAATTCTACCAAACATTCAGAGAAGACCTTGCACCAGCACTACTCAAATTATTTCAGGACATAGAAGAGATACTTCCAAATTCATTCTATGAAGCCAGCATAACCCTGACACCAAAACCAGGCAAAGTCACCATAATAAAAGAAAATTACAGACTAATTTCTCTCATGAATATAGATCCAAAATTCTAGCCAATAGAATTCAGCATCATATCAAAAAACTAATACATCATGTCATGGTTTGAATTATGTCCCCCCAAAAATGTGTGTATCAGTTTTGCTGGGCCATGATTCCTGGTACTGTGTGATTTCCCTACGTGTTGTAAATCCTGCCTCTATGATGTTAGTGAGCGAGGATGGGTGGCAGTTGTGTTAGTAAGGCAAGACTGGATCTACAAGACTGGATTGCGTCTTGAGGCAATCTCTTGAGATATAAAAGACAGAAGTGAGCAGTGAGACAGGGGACCTCATACCATCAAGAAAGCAGTGCCAGGAGCAGAGTGTGTCCTTTGGACAGGGGTCCCTGCACCGAGAAGCTCCTAGTCTGGGGGAACACTGATGAGAAGGCGGACAGAGAGAGAAAGACTTCCCTTGGAGCTGACACCCTGAATTTGGACTTTTAGCCTACTTTGACTGTGAGGAAATAAAATTCTCTTTGTTAAAACTGTCCACTTGTGGTATTTCTTTTATGGCAGCACTAGATAACTAAGACATACCATGATCAAGTAGGATTCATACCAGGTATGCAAGAATGGTTCAAACATTAGAAAATCAATCAATGTAATCCACCACATAAATACAACAAAGAAAAGAAGCACGTGATCATCTCAATTGATGCAGAGAAGGCATTTGATAAAGTCCAACACCTATTCCAGATAAAAATTCTCAGTAAGATAGGAATAGAAAGGAAATTCCTCAACATAATAAAGGTCATCTATACAAAACCAACAGCCAACATCATTCTCAATGGAGAGAGGCTGAAAACATCCCCCCTGAGAAGAGAACAAGACAAAGATACCCTTTATCACCACTCTTATTTAACCTTGTGCTGGAAGTCCTAGCTAGAGCAATAATGCAAGAAAAAGAAATAAAGAGCATCTGAATTGGTAAGGAAGAAGTAAAACTATCCCTATTCGTGTATGATATGATACTATAGAGAACCCAAAAGACTCCACAAGAAAACTACTGGAACTAATGGAAAGATTCAGCAGAGTAGCAGGATACAAGATAAACATACAAAAATCAGCTGAATTCCTATACACCAGTAAAGGGTACTATGAAAAGGAAATCAAGAAAGCAATACCATTTATAATAGCCCCTAAAAAAATAAAATACTTAGGAATAAATCTAATCAGGGACGTAAAAGACTTATACAAAGAAAACTACAAAACACTACTGCAAGAAACCAAAAGAGACCTACATAAATGGAAAAACATATGATGCTCATGGATAGGTAGACTCAACATTGTGAAAATGTCAATTCTACCAAAAGCAATCTACAAATACAATGCAATCCAATCCAAATACCAACAGCATTCTTTAACGAGATGGAAAAACTAATCATTAACTTTATACAGAAAGGAAAGAGGCCCTGGATAAGTAAAGCATTATTGAAGAAGAAGAACAAAGTAGGAGACCTACCACTACCTGACCTTAGAACCTACTGTACAGCTACAGTAGTCAAAACAGCCTGGTACTGTTACAATGACAGACACATTGAGCAATGGAACAGAACTGAGAACCCAGGTGTAAATCTGTCTACCCACGGCCACCTGATCTTTGACAAAGACTCAAAATCCATTAAATGGAGAAAAGACAGCCTTTTTAACAAATGGTGCTGGCAAAACTAGATGTCCATCTGTAAAAAAATGAAACAGGGCCCATACCTCACACCATACACAAAAACTAATTCATAATGGATCAGAGACCTAAATATAAAACCCAAAACTATAAAAATCATGGAAGAAAAAATAGGGTCAACACTAGGGGCCCTAACGTATGGCATATACAGGATATAAACCATAGTTAACAATACACAAACACCAGAAGATAAGCTACATAAATGGGATCTTCTAAAAATTAAACACTTAGGGTCATCAAAAGACTTCACCAAAAGAGTAAAGGAGAACCTACAGATTGGGAATAAATTTTTCTCTATGACATATCCAACAAAGGTCTAGTCTCTAAAATCCATAGGAAATTCCAAAACCTCTACAATAAAAAGACAAATAATCAAATTAAAAAATGGGCGAAGGATACGAACAGACACTTCACCAAAGAAGACATTCAGGCGGCTAATAGACACATGAGGAAATGTTCATGATCACTAGCCATTGGAGAAATGCAAATCAAAACTACAATGAGTTACCATCTCACACTGACATTACTGGCACAAATCAAAAAAATAGAAAATAACAAATGTTGGAGAGGTTGTGGCGAGATTAGAACTCTTATGCACTGCTGGTGGGAATGCAAAATAGTATAACCATTTTGGAAAATGATATGGCGTTTCCTTAAAAAACTAGAAATAGAAATACCATATAATTCAGCAGTCCCACTCCTAGGAATGTATCCTAGAGAAATAAGAGCCGTCACACGAATAGACATATGCACACCCATGTTCATTGCAGCATTATTCACATTAGCAAAAAAGATGGAAACAACCTAAGTGCCCATCAACAGATGAATGGATAAACAAATTATGGTACATACACACAATGGAATAAACACATATACACAAAACGAACAATGATGAATCTGTGACACATCTTACAACATGGATGAATCTGGAGGGTATTAATGCTAAGTGAAATAAGTCAATCACAGCAGGGCAAATACAGTATGAGATCACTATTATAAAAAACACATGAAAATGTTTCCACACAGAAAAACAATCTTTGATGTTTACGAGAGAGGGGAGGGGTGGGGAAGGAAAAACACTAACTGTGGTAATAAGTGGTAACTTTGGTGAAGGGTAAGACAGTACACAATACTGAGGAAGTCAGCACAACTTGACCAGGGCAAAGTCATAGAAGCTTTGCAGACACATCCAAACGCCCTGAGGGACTGAGCTACTGGGCTGAGGGCTGGAGACCATGATCTCGGGGGACATCTAGCTCAATTGGCATAACATAGTCTATGAAGAAAATGTTCTACATTTTACTTTGGTGAGTAGTGCCTGGGGTATTAAAGCCTGCGAGCTGCCATCTAAAATATATCTACCAGTCCCAGGTCCCATCCTGGCTGGAGCAAACGAAAATGAAGAAAACCAAAGACCCAAGGGAAACATTAGTCCGAAGGACTAATGGAGCACAACTACCATAATCTCCACCAGACCGAGTTCAGGACAATTAGGTGGTGCCTGGTTGCTACCACTGACTGCTCTGGCAGGGTTCACAATAGAGGATCCTGGACAGAGCGGGAGAAAAATTAGAACAAAATCTAAAAAAAAAAAGACCAGCCTTGCTAGTCTGACAGAGACTGCAGAAACCCTGAGGGTATGGCCCCCGACATGCCTTAAGCTCAGTATAGAAGTCACTCCTGAGGTTCACCTTTCAGCCACAGATTAGACAGGTCTATAGGGCCAACAATAACACATGTGAGGAAAGTGCTTCGTAGTTCAATCATGTATGCAAGACTAATGGGCACACCAGCTCAAAAGCAAAGACGAGAAGGCAGGAGGGGACAGGAAAACCAGATGAATGGAAACAGGGAACCCAGAGTCGAGGAGGGGAGAGTATTGACACATCTCAGGGTTGGCAACCAATGTCACAAAACAATTTGAGTGTTAACTGCTTAATGAGAAACTAATTTGCTCTGTAAACTTTCATGTAAAGCACAATTTAAAAAAGAAAAGAAAAGATTACGGCCTAGAAAACCCTATGGGGCAGTTCTACTCTGTCATATGGGGTCGTTATGCGTCGAAATCTACTTGACAGCACACAATAGCAACATGAGAGCAAATGAGATTACTTCGTATTGCACTTTTAATTATATGTCACCTGCCTTACCTTGTTTTTCTCTTCTAAAAGGCAGAAGAAATATTATCAGTCCAATCACCTTGGCATATCAGAAAGAAGGTGTACTTGCTTCTGGAATAGTAATGTATTTTTTTTCTTCAAACTGAATTATTTTTAAGAAAATGTACAATTTCCTTTTGCTATTTATTTAGTATCATGAACTGTGTTTTTGGATGTCTGGTTCTGAAGAATATTACATAATGTTGTTTCTTTTTGGATGCTATTTAAAAAAACTCATTAATAAGAATTTAAAATATATCAAAAAGTAGAAAGAACAGTATAATGAACTACCATATACCTATCTTATTTCAAGTGAATAAAAATATAGTTTAAAAATCCACCCCCATTCAAACAGCTAATATCCGTTACCCAATTCCATGATCATTTGTTCCCTTAATGTATTAGGTTGTCAGACATGAATTTGGAACCTCTTTTCTAAGCTTGCATACCCATTTAGGTTATATCTATAATATTGTAATTGTTCATATTCAAATTAGTATTAATAGTCTCCATTTACTTGTGCTTGCTTTGTGCTAGGCACCAGGCTAAGTACTTTATTGTATTATCTTATTGGTTCTCAAAACAACCTTATTAAGTAGGAACTATTGATATCTCCCTTACGCAGATGAAGGAACTGAGTCTTACCAGCAAGTTAGTGGAAGAGCTGGGACTTGTGTCAAACTTAAAAGTCTATGTTCTCTCATTTATTACACTGCAGAACTTCAGAAAATATGAAAAGGAGTCAGACCATGGTTATTTTTCGAGCCTATTGTAAGTGTAGTTTGGAGCAGACAGACCTACACTAAAATCACATTTCCACTGGTGGCTATCCAAAATCCATTGTTAGCTTTGTCTGTTCCATTGCCACAGATCACATCTCCAGGACCCTGAGTGCAGTAAGCAAGGACTTCAGATGAGATATGTATCTCCACCAAGGAGAAGCATCCTGCAGCTCATATACCTACATTCAGTCCGTAATGGCCTCCCGATGCCTTGCAATGGACTTCCCCCTCTTCCCTCCTACAGTTAGTCTACATTTGTGGATTTTTGTGACACTTGTCCTCTTTAAAGCCACCCTTGATGATTCTTATAACCTAGTTTAAAGGAATTATTGAAGCATCTGCTTTTGTGAGGCATGAGGAGTGATGATGGGCTTGGTGAAAGCGCCTTGCATGTTTTTCCCCAGGTCCCAAGCATCTGAACCCCAACCACCTCACAAATGCCTACTCTTAGTCATTAGGAGGTCTGATCTAGAAACAATGGGTGAATTTGCTCAAATCCTCTTCACTACTGTGAAATTAACCCAAATTCTTCTAGAGTAGTTAATTTATCCTAAATATTTTATAACCAACCAATCAATAGACCTGTTTTATTGGATACCTGTCATGTTCCTAGCTTTGTATGTGAAGAACTGTAAAGGAGGATACAAATGAAATTATAGGCGTGCTCCCACCCCTTGGGTCATTAAGTGATACAAGAATTGTACAATGATCAAAGAGTGATATGTTAGGGCTAGCTGGTGTCCTTTGAAGTAAGGAGATTGCTATACATACTACTCAATAAACTGTCTTATTTGTTCCACCTCCTTGATAATGAGGAATGTGGCACAGAAGATAGATGCTAGAGAAGTTCAAAGAAAGAAGAAATTAATAACGTTTTAAGTAGTTGAAAAATGTACCATGAAAGAGATAAAATTGAAGCTTGACCAGAGAACATGATTAAAAGTTGTCTAAATAAAAGCAGAAGACAGGGCACTCTAGATAATGTAAACACAGAAGAGGATTTCAAATATAAACAGTGGGTGGTAGTCAGTAAGGCTTAACCTATCTAATGAGGAAGGTAGATACTATGCATTGACTGAGACTGATTTTCTACATTTATCTCATTGTTTTTGGTCTCTAGGATGGCTTCGTGTATTCTTTTCTTATTAAAGATTCAAGTTACAAAGTACAGGATTTTATCGAGGTAGAAGAGCCTGTGGAGCATCTTGTGTTTTCTCCCAATTACAGAATGTTGCTGATTCAAACAGAGAAGGTAAGCTTAGTGGTGATTTCTTGAGATGCAGTTTTCAGGTAAAATTATTATCATTGTTGCATGACATGAATGAAGGACACAATGTGCTGTATAATGATACTCTATTAGTCAGGACTCTTTAGGTTGCAAATGAAAAAAAAAAAGCCAATGTAAAAGGGACTTTTGTTTTTTGGTTGGTTGGTTTTTATGCATGTGACTGGAAGGGCAAAGAGTGGATCTGACCTCCCACAATGCCACTGGGCCTTGTTTTCCTTCCACCTCTTGCTTCTGTTTCCTCTCTGCTGGCTCTATTGCCAGGCAGACTTTCCCCTGTGATGCCAAGAGACTTCCTGCAGCTCCACCCTACCCTCTTGGTGACCTGATGGGAAGGTACCAACTGGAACAAATGTTTCGGAATGTAGACTCATTGGAGTGACTTGAGTCACCTGTCTATCCCAGGTCAATCACTATGGCCAGGAGGATTCTAAGCTCTGATTACCCAGGTCTGAGTCATATGCCCATCTTTCGGCCCAGGATAGAGTCAGCCCACCCAAACATAGAATGAGATTGGGGGCATGCATGGTTCTCTAAGGAAAATATGGAGTCTGTAAGAGAAGAAGGGGAGTGTCAGGCTGGGTTCTCTAGAGAAGCAAAACTAGTGAAGCATGTATATATATATATGTACATGTTTGTATATATGTATATACACATATATATGTATATATATATAAAGACAGGTATTTATCTCAAGGAAACCCTCACTTGGTTGTACAGGCTGGGAAGTCCCAAGTCTGTAGGTCAGGCATCAGGCTGGAGGCTTCTTCTGACTCACATAGCTGCAGGGGCTGACAAACCCAAGATTGGCAGGTCAGATGGCAGGCTGCTGGCTCACAGGCTGCAGAGGCCAATGAATCTCAAGATTGGTAGGCAAAATGGCAGGCTGCTGGCTCAAGTACCAAGAACTGGAGGTCAGATGATGAGAAGCCAGATGCAGAATCCAGAGCGAGCAAAAGCCAGTGAGCTTTGCCAGAACATCCATATATATTGGATGCAGGCCACAACCCCAAGGAAACTCTCCTTAGAACCGATTGGCTGATCACATCAGATCGCATCATGGAGGTGATTACATTATATCACAAAATGGTGGATAACTATACCATTACATACCTGCCGAATTATGTCATTACATAACTGCCAAACTATATCCTTGCATAACTGCCAAACCACTGAGAATCATGGCCAGCCAACTTGACACACAACCTTAACTATCACAAGAGGGAAATAAATGCAGAGTAAAAATAAATGTCCCGCGCAATGGGTGGGCTCCTAATTAATGGCATGAGCTTCAAAGATCAGAATTAGTTACAGTTTGTACTGTTAGGCAAAAATTTGGCATTGGGTTATAAACAAAGTTAAATGATTTCGTGCCTAAAAGAAACTTAAGTCTAAATATGGAAAAACTTCAGGTTCTGGTCATTTCCAGAATTTAAAACTGTGCTGTGTTTTAGTAAATAAATGACAAAATATCCATGGTGAATAGGAAGCTATAAAAGGTAACATAACCAAAGTGAAAAAAGAAAAGACCTAAATAGAACTTCTAAAAAAGGAAAATATGCTAACAAAATAAAAAAATTCAATGAACATGTATAACAACAAATTGAACACAGCCGAATAAATAATTAGTGAATTGGAAGATAGATCAGAATAAGTTATGCAGAATAGCCCAGAGAAGCAAAAGGGTAGGAAATGTAGATGGGAGGGTAGGAGACATAAGGATATAGTGAAAAGTTCTAACATGTTTGATTGAAGTTCCAAAGAGGAGAGAGAGTGGAAGAGAGACAATACTTAAAGAGATATTGTCTGAGAATGTTCCAGAAGTGATTAAAAACATGGATTTACAGATTCAAGAGGCCTAGTGAATTCTAAGCAAGATACATAAAAAGATATACACACTGAGATTTTCAACAAAGTAAAATTGTTGAAAACCAAAGACGAAGAGAATATTTTAAAAGCAGTCAGAAAGAAAAGACAAATTACTTCAAAGGAATTTTAATTAGACTAAGAGCTGTTTTCCCTGTGACAATAATATAAGTAAGAAATAGTGAAATAGTATGTTCCATCTGGTTCAGGGGTCAAGAAACTATGGATCCATGAACCAAAACCAGCCTGTTGCTTGTGCTTGATTTTATAAATAAAGGTTTTATTGGAACATAGACAGACACACTTATTCATTTATGTATTATCTATGACTGTTTTTGCACTACAAGTAATTGTTATCAGAGACCACATAGACTGCAACGCCTAACAAGTTTACTGTCTGACCCTTTATAGAAAAAGTTTGCTGACCGCCTGATATAATGAAAGAAAGTAACTACTATCTGAAATTCTATACCCAATAAAATATCTTTCAATTATGTGGTGAAAAAAGACATTTTCAGATACCTCAAAACTGAGAGTTTCTCAGCAGCAGACTCTCACTAAAGAAAATTCTAATGAATGTACTTTAGGCAGAAGGAAAATGATCCCAGGTGGCAGGTCTGTGATGCAAGAAGAATGAAGACCAGTACGGTGTGGAGAAATGTAAATGAACTCTAACTATATAAAACAGAAAAAGTAATGTTAAGTTGAGTTTCAAAATAACATTGAACTGAAATCCCAGACAATAGTAATGTAAGCTGGAGGAGGGAGGGAGAAAGGAGTAAATGGAATTAAAGTGTTCCCAGCTTTTGGTATTACCCAGGAGGAAAGTAAAGGTTGTAAGTAAGTTTTGACATTGTTAAATATGCAAGTTGTAACTTCTGAGGGAACCACTGAAAGAACAGAAGGAGTAGATGAAGTTTCCAAACTATAGAGGGGGAAAGTAAAAAGTAAAAAACAAAACAAAACAAAAACAAGGTAAAAGATAAAAAGAAACAGAAAACAAGTGAACAAAGGCTTAAATGTTAGATTTAAACTCAAATATATTGGTAATTACAATTAATATAAATAGAGTAAATGATATAGTTAAAAGACAAAGATTTCCATGCAAGTTTTTTTTTAAAAAAGCAAAACCCACCATGTGCTGTTTACAAGTGACACATCTGAAACATTAGGGTACAGTAAGATTGAAAGTGAAGAGATGGAAAAGACATATCTGAAAATATTAACCAAAATAAAGCCAGTGGAGATATATTAATATCAGGCTTAATAGATAAGAGAAACATCATTGTGAAAGATAAATGGGCTTATTTCAGAATAATAAAATATTCAAAATAATAATAAAATATTCACCAGGAAGTTATAAACATTTAAATTATATACATACACACACATACACACACACACACACACATATATATATATAACTAATAGCATAGCCTTAAAAGATACAAAGCCAAAGCCAAACATGACAGAATTACAAACAGAAAACGGCCATGATCTCAATGGGAGATTTTAATATACTTCTCTCAGTACTTGACAGATTAAACAATAAACAACGTATTCTCCACATAGCAGACAAAGTGAGCAGAGGATTTCACTCCACTACTCAGAGCCCTCTAGTGATTTCCCATATCATTCAGAGTAAAAGCCAAAATGTATAAGATATTTTACAAGGTCCTTCAAGATTTGGACTCCACTCCTCACCCCTGGTCTTATCTCTTAATGCTCTGCCTCTTGTTCACCCTGCTCCAACCACACTGGCTATCATTCTGTTTCTTTGAGCACACCAGCCACGCTCCTGCCTCAGAGTCTTCACACGGGCTGTTCCTTCTATCTGGAATGCTCTTCACCCCAAATCTACATGAATCACTTCCTTGTTTCCTTCCAGGCTTTATTTTTTCTTACCTTGTCACTAAAATCTTTCTTGGGTACCCTATTTAAAATTACATACTCTTACTTTGCCGTGTCGTATCTTGTTTTTCTTCTTACAGTTATCTCTATTCAACTTACAATATGTTCTAGTTCTATGTCTTATTTATTGTCTGAATCCTAGTAGAATGTAAGCTTTTATGACGACAGGGATTTCTTGTCTGTTTTGTGTCTGATGTAGCCCCGACATACAGAGCAGTGCCCCACACAGTGTATCCACTCAATATTTGTAGAAAGAGTGAGTGAAAGGTAAAATTAGTAGATATCTACCAAACTTTCAACTCTTCTTCACGTGTATAATTCAGTAACATTAGTTATGTTTATAATATTGTTCAACTCTTACCATTACAGGATAGTTTTGGGAGAGGTGAATTTGGGAGCTTAGACTGATAAACAAGCCGTAAAGAGACAGCTTTGGCCACACCTCCCCCTTTCTATAAAGGCTTATTTAAAAGTTTTAATTCATGCCTACCATGGTGTAGCTAGCATATGGCAGGATTTAATTAATCTTAACAACTTTTCTGGTTTTCCACATTTCCCAAATTTTCTATATGAATAGACATTATTTTTGAAATTAGGAAAAAGTGTTTTGTTATGTTTTATAGTTTAAAAAACAACTGTCTGGAATTGCAGAGAGAAGAAAGTCCTATTTGTTGATTATTCTGAATGATGAATAAATAAATTAATAAGTCAATTAGTAACCAAACTAATCAAGCATCTAGATTTTAAACTTCTCAAGGTCAGGGCCTTACTGAGTGGATCTCTGATTCCAATCTCCTATTCCCACACATGGCCTCATTCACAGTAGGCATTTAATAAATGTTTTTTGAACTGCACATGCAACAACTACACTGTGTTTCTTTTTTCTTCTTCTTTTTTGTATGTTTAACAGGGATCTACTTATATCTACACTTTTGGTGAGGAGCCAACCTTTGAAAAAGTCCTAGCTTCTTATGATGCGAATTTTCAGGCAATGGAATTTATCACACCTGGAAACAGTCACTTCATGGTAAGGAATTTTTTATTATTTCACAGTAGAATTTAAAGATGCAGTGTGTTCAGATTTCAGTCCGTATCCATATGTAATTGGGTAGCTTTGGAAGTCCTTGTGCAGAGGTAATGCAAATAGAGTGTGGCAGAGATGTGAAACACTTCCATCATTAAATCTGCTCCCCAGTTGGAATGACATCATCATATTATGTCTTCATAATATTAAGCCTTCTGAAAATGGTCAAAGCAATTGAGATCCTAGAAGCCATTCTGTTTTTTGTTTTTTAAATAATATTTTATGGCGTTTTAGGTGAGAGTTTACACAGCAAATTAGGTTCCCATTTAACAATGTCTACACAAATTGTTCAGTGACATTGGTTACTTTTTTTTTTTACAATGTATCAACATTCTCATTACTTCCATTTAGGCTGTTTTGTTTCCAGTAATCAGTTTCCCTGCCCCATTACCTTCTCATCTTTGCTTTAGAGTAACTGTTGGCCGTTTGGTCTTATATAGATGACTTTCTAAAGGAGCACAGTGCTCATAGGTGATATTCTTTATTTTATGAGACAATCCATTATTTAGCTAAAATGTTACCTCAGGGGATAGTTTTGGTTCAAGGTTTAAAGGATATCTCAGGGCAATAGTCTTGGGGAGTTCTGTAGTCTCAACTAGTCCATTAAGTCTGGACTTAAGAATCTGGGTTCTGTTCCACATTTTTCTCCCATCGTATAAGGATTCATCTGTTGTGGCTCTGATCAGAACTTGTCAGTAGTGGTAGGTGGGAGCCATGTAGTTCTTCTGGTCTCAGGGTAGATGAGACCATGGTTTGTGTAGACTATTAGTCCTGTGATCTTTTGCTGAAGATCATTTGAAAGAGTTGCAGCAGTATATTGACAGGGAACTGCCAGAAATTCAAGCTGGTTTCAGAAGAGGACGTGGAACCAGGGATATCATTGCAGATTTCAGATGGGTCATGGCTGAAAGCAGAGAATACCAGAAAGATGTTTACCTGTGTTTTATTGACTATGCAAAGACATTCGACTGTGTGGCTTGTAACAAATTATGGATAACATTGCAAAGAATGGGAATCCCAGAACACTTAATTGTGCTCACGAGGAACCTGTACATAGACCAAGACGCAGTTCGAACAGAACAGGGGAGTACTGCGTGGTTTAAAGTCAAGAAGGGTGTGCGTCATGGTTGTATCCTTTCACCATACTTATTCATTCTGTATGCTGAGCAAATAATCCAAGAAGCTGGACAATATGAAGAAGAATGCAGCATCAGGATCAGAGGAAGACTCATTAACAACCTACAATACGCAGATGATACAACCTTGCTTGCTGAAAGTGAAGAGGACTTGAAGCACTTACTACAGCCTTCAGTATGGATTCCACCTCAACATAAAGAAAACAAAAATCCTCAAACTGGACCAATAAGCAACATGATAAATGTAGAAAAGATTGAAGTTGTCAAGGATTTCATTTTACTTGGCTCTACAATCAACAGATCCACAATTAACACCCATGGAAGCAGCAGTCAAGAAATCAAACGACCAATTGCATTGGGCAAATCTGCTGCAAAAGACATCTTTAAAGTGTTAAAAAGCAAAGATGTCACTTTAAAGACTAAGGTGTATGTGACCCAAGCCATGGTGTTTTCAGTTGCCTCATATGCATATAAAAACTAGACAGTGAATAAGGAAGACTGAAGAACTGATGCCTTTGAATTATGGTGTTGGTGAAGAATACTGAATATACCATAGACTGCCAGAAGAATGAACAAATCTGTCTTGGAAGAAGTACAACCAGAATGCTCATTAGAAGCAAGGATGGTGAGACTTCATGTCACATACTTTGGACATGTTATCAGAAGGGACCAGTCCCTGGAGAAGGACATCATGGTTGGTAAAGTAGAGGGTCAGCGAAAAAGAGGAAGACCCTCAACGAGATGGATTGATGGATTGACAAGTGGCTGCCATGATGGGCTCAAGCATAGCAACAATTGTTAGGATGGCGCCGGACCGGGCAATGTTTCTTTCTGTTGTACATGGGGTTGCTATGAATCAGAACCGACTCGATGGCACCTAACGACAACAACAATTTGTCCCGTAGACTACTTTCCTCTCTGAGGCTTCGGTTTCCTTCTTTCTCTTTTACTCCTGACGAGTTGAGACCAATAATTGGATCTTAGTTGAACGGTTGCAAGCTTTTAAGACTCCAGACTACTCATCAAATTAGGATGTAGAACATAAACTTTATGAGCTATATTATGCCAACTGACTGCATTGTACCACGAGACTATGATCCTAAGCCTTCAAACCCAGAAAACCTATCTCTCGAGGTGTTTGTCTATGTCTAAGAAGTATCTAACTGTGCTCCCTATATGCTTTATTGTGTGTGTGTCTATATATATATATACACACACATACATATAGATACATCTGTATACGCATACATATATACACACATAGATGTACACATACACATGCATGTATGTGTACAGGTACATACACATATATATATAGACACATACATACATACACATAGGTACATACACATACATGTGTAACCACACATATATTTTTTGGTTGTTGTTGCAACATTATATATGTCATAGCATTTACCAAAAGCGTCCTTTTTTCTTGTATACTTTTTAATGACATCATTTACCTTGGTCAGGCTGTGCACACTTCACCCACGTTTGATGGTACCTTTCCCATCACTGAAAATAACAAGTGTCTACTATCTAGAGGGAAACCCTGGTGGTGTAGCGGTTAAGAGCTATGGCTGCTAATCAAAAGGTCAGCAGTTTGAATCCACCAGGAGCTCCTTGGAAACCCTATGGGGCAGTTCTACTCTGTCCTGTAGGGTCGCTACGAGTTGGAATCGACTCGACGGCAATGGGTTTGGTTTTTTTTTAATCTAGAGAGTGATTCCTCTTTCCCCTCCCCTGCCCATCCCTGATAACCACCAATGAACATTGTTTTCTCTCTGAATAACTATTGCCTTTTTATAAAAGTGAGATCATACTGTTATAGAGAAAAACTTGAATGCTGTTTCAAGTTAAAACAGAGAGGTTTATTAAGAGTTTAAAACAATTGCAATTGGAGAACCTCATAGCTTATTGAAAATGGAACTAGGTAGTCCTGGGGCAGTTTTGTTATAAAAGTATTCTTATGGAGTAAACAGAGGAACCAGACCGTAGGGAGGGCAATTACAGGATAACCAATGAATATTGTAATAATCACACTCTGATTGATTACTGATTATTAATAGTATAGTTAGTGATTACAGATAGTTTCACAGGTTGCTTAGATCATGGTCACAAGATGCTTACATGTATTTTCTTTGTCTATCTTGCAAAATTATCTTGTTGGCAACGGTACCCAGATAGCACTCTTCCTGGCTATATGTATTCTGAGGCATGCAGATGGTCACTTGGTTAAGACCCCTCCGGGTATGTAGTTTCACATCCTGGTTTTGACCACCGAGGAAAAAGATGTTTTTCTCAAAAAACATAGCTGTGAGTCTAGAAATCCAGATTAAAATTAGCATGGTCAGCATACTATGCCTCTGTCTCACTGACTGCACTGAAAGTTTTCTTTTCCTGAGATAATACAGTTATTTGTCCTTTTGTGATTGACTTATTTCATTCAGCATAATGTCCTCCAGATTCATCCACATTATAAGATGTTCAGGAACTGATCAGTAGAGTCTTTATGGCTGTGTAGTATTCCATTGTATGTACATACTGTTTTATTTATCCATTCATCCATTGATGGGCACTTAGTTTGTTTCCATCTTTTTTGCTATTGTGAATAGTTGTGCAAGGACATGGTGTGCATATGTCTGTTCATGTCACTTTTATTAGATCTCTAGGGTTTACCTAGGAGTGGTATTGCTGGATCATAAGGTAGTTCTATTTCTAGTTTTTTGAGGTAGCACTATACTCTTTTCTATAGTGCATATACCATTTTAGAATCCCACCAGCAGTGGATAAGGGTTCAGGGACATTCTGTTTTAAACACGTTCATTGCTAATGAGTCATTGAGACTCACGAAAGTATTAGTATTTACCCCATTTCAGTGAGACACAGATGCATCTGAATATGAAAATGAAATAATGCCATACACCAAACATGATTCAGTCTACTTGAAGAAAAACACTCTCTACATTGAGAAATGATATACTTCTTTTTTGGTGTTCTACTGTTCACCTTTTATTGCTCTCAGGAAATATAGTTTAATTTTCATGTGATTTATCAACACGTCTATTAAGATTTTAGGATTCTATAAAATAAAATAATACATAGGTTTGGAATAGGTGACACTTAAGGTCTCTTCAAATCTTGATTATATGATTAAATGACTGTTCTTCCAAATGTTCTCTGATAAGAATTATGTCTATTCTCATAGTTATTTCAATTCTGTAAAAACTCCATGCAAGATGATCATGTTTAGGAATTAAATACTCGACCCATATTTTCATCTTATCTACTGTCTAGTATCAAAACGAAAACAAAAAGTCAAAACAGAACAAAAAAACTTAAATTCTATCACATTTCAGTTACTTTAAGTTGCTTTCAGTCTTGATCCAGTGAAAGAGTAAAAGTAATAAAAATTATGAATATCTTGCAATTTCCTATTTTAGGTTTTTTCACTAGGTAATAATCCCATTGAATTTCCAAATGGTAGTTATGTTTTATAAAGTTTTATAAAGTCCCCATGAACACTGAATTAGTGAATACTGAACCATTGCTTCTGGGGGAAATACAGAGTAAGTTTACTGTGAGTCTCTGGTCACAACATTTATGTCAGCCGATCAATGCATAACCTTGTTTTATGTGTGTTTCTGTTTAAAGGCATCTTATTTAATATATATTGTTGATTCACTAACATTGAACTCATGGCCAACAGTGCTATAACTCATGCCTAAATGAAGCTTATCTAACACATGTATTTTCTCTCTAAGGCACATTACAGCCTTCTTGCATTTAGGAACACTAGACAGCACTTCAGCACTATGCTTAGGGGCCGTTTTAAACAAAGAAATTACAAACAATGAGCACAAAAATTCAGAAAATTTGGCATTAAATAGACCGTGAAAAGGACACTTGTTTACAGTCTGAGAACTGAAACAAGAAGGCAGAGTATCACCTTGTTTGACTTCAGTTGGAAATGTGTGTGTCAGGAGACTCAAAGTTTGTGCCACTCTGCACATGTCTGCAAATGACCATAAAAGTGCCATGAATATAGATTTGGGGGTTACAAATAAATTTTAACAAGTAGGCAAATTCACAGAAATGGAACCCACGAATAATGAAGATTGACTGTAAGTTTAATCTCAAGTATGTGACCCAGAAAAATCTTTATTTTACTTTTCTAATCATAATTAGTTATTATTTAATGTGTATTAAAGATAATAATTAATATTTGTTAAGTAAGAAATATTGATACTGAAATTGTAATAATTTATGTTTCACATAAGCAAAATGAAATTTTATACTAAATCATCAGAGAAGTTGACATACTATAGAGGGATGTTACCTGAATAGGGTCTGTGCCCTGGCGCAATCGAGCCAATGAAATGTGCTCCAAGTCAGAACGAGTGAGAAAGTTTTATTTTAGGAGGTGTCCACCACCAGGGTTCCGACAGCAACACAGGCTGTCTCTATGGAGTCCCGAAAGGCATTTTTATGTTAGAGTTTATATATGATTTTTTCAAAGGTTAGAAGTGTTGTTATTCATTACAAGGTAATTGCAAGAGACTCTTTATCATACTAAAAAGATACCTGCCAGACATTTTTTTTATCAGGCTAAGATATACATATCTGACATCTGGGCTCACTCTAATCTTCCTGTGGGCGGTCGTAAGCCACAGGTGGCTGGACAGAGCAAAACAAAGTCATTAACAAAGGTATGCGAAAAGGAGAAGGCAAAGAAAAAAGAAAAAAAATCTTATAGGTTCATTATGGAGTTAGTTATGTCAAGCTCTCAGTGGCTGATTTTGAAAAGGAGAAAACATGCTGGAGAGTGTTAGGGTTACAGGGATTTAGAACATGCTTCCATAGAGGAGTCTTTTTTTCAAATTAGAATTTTTTTCATCATTGTTGTAGACACTGACAAGTTCAGGGGACGTTGGTGTTTGGTTGTTGGAGAATGGTTCTCCTGTCAGCAGTATTTCTCTTAATACCCCGGTAAGTGTGCCCAATTAATTGTTTGTTTTTCTTAATGTTCTATTCTAATCCAGTCTACTTTTTCATATTTACATGACAATATCTGTGGAAATACTTGTTACAGAAACTGTACTGCATTTTTACCTTATAGATTCAGAGTAATTCCTGTGTGTCAAGAATATTCCACAGCCTAGAGGATGGAACATAGCATACTATATTGGTATATAGGAAAGGATAAGTTTTTCTGTGACAGCAGTTAATTCTGAAGTCCTTGTGGCTTATATCTCACTCATGCTATAAATTCATTGTGAATTAGCAGGGGTCTTCTGCTCCATACAGTCTCTCAGGGAGCCTGGCTGATGGATGCTCCACCAGTTTACTGTAACTGCACTATCCAGAACTCATGGTTTCCTCAGTGCCATGGCATGGGAAGGGAGTGCTGGAGGGTCTTGAATCAGCAATTAAGTAAGTCACCTCAGAAGTGACACATTTCATTGGCCATAACTATAAAGTATAGAACTCAGATGTGGCTCAATCCAGCAGCTCAAATGATTTTACCAAGGATCGTTTTTTCTTGCTGTCTCTATACTGTGCCTTTAGTTTCATCTTAGGCTTCATTTAGTGGTACCCAGGCTACCACAGGTGCTAGATTCGCATCACATTGTCAGGGGAAGAAAGCCTCCTACAATAGGAAGAGGAAGAGAAAAGAAGTTTCTACTGTCCAAAAGGTCTAGTAACTATCTTCTAATGCCTCAATAACATCCCTGAACTAATCACTATAGACAGGAAGACAAGAAATGCTAATTAGCTTAGCTCATCCCTCTAAATGGGGTCAGATCTATTCCTTGCTCTTGGAAAGTGAGTAGCTAAAGCAAAAGGAAGAAATGATGAAGTAAAAGCTGAACAGAAGATTTCAAAGGGTGGCTCGAGAAGACAGAGTAAAGTATCATAATGTCATGTGCAAAGAGCTGGAGATAGAAAACCAAAAGAGAAGAACATGCTTGGCATTTCTCAAGCTGAAAGAATTGAAGAAAAATTCAAGCCTAGAGTTGGAATATTGAAGGATTCTACAGGGAAAATATTGAACGATGCAGGAAACACAAAAAGAAGATGGAAGGAATACACAGAGTCACTATACCAAAAAGAATTGGTCGACATTCAGCTGTTTCAGGAGGTAGCATATGATCATGAACCGATGGTACTGAAGGAAGAAGTCCAAGCTGCACTGAAGGCATTGGCAAAAGACAAGGCACTGAAAATACCACTGGGGAAGAACTGCTTCCTCAAAGTAGAGTTGACCTTAATGATGTGGATGGAGTCAAGCTTTCGGGACCTTCATTTGCTGATGTGGCATGACTCAAAATGAGAAGAAACAGCTGCAAACATCCACTAATAATAGGAACGTGGAATGTATGAAGTATGAATCTAGGAAAATTGGAAGTCAATGAAATGGAACACATAACGATCGATATCCTAGTGAGCTGAAAGAGACTGGTATTGGCCATTTTGAATTGGACAATCATATGGTCTACTATGCTGAGAATGACAAATTGAAGAGGAATGGCATTGCATTCATTGTCAAAAAGAACATTTCAAGATCTATCCTGAAGTACAACGCTGTCAGTGATAGGATAATATCCATACGCCTACAAGGAAGACAAGTTAATACGATTATTATTCAAATTTATGCACAAACCACTAAGGCCAAAGATGAAGAAATTCATTTTTACCAGTTTCTGCAGTCTGAAATTCATCAAACATGCAATCAAGATGCATTGATAATTACTGGTGATTGGAATGCAAAAGTTGGAAACAAAGAAGTAGGATTGGTAGTTGGGAAATATAACTTTGGTGATAGAATCGATGCCAGAGATCTCATGATAGAATTTTGCAAGACAAATGACTTCTTCATTGCAAATATGTTTTTTCAACAACATAAATGGCTACTATACACGTTGACCTCGCCAGACAGAATACACAGTAATCAAATCAACTACATCTGTGGAAAGAGACAATCAAGAAACTCAATATCACCAGTCAGAACAAGGCCAGGGGCCGACTGTGGAACAGACCATCAATTGCTCCTGTGTAAATTCAAGTTGAAGCTGAAGAAAATTAGAGCAAGTCCACAGGAGCCAAAATACGACCTTGAGTATATCCCACCTGAATTTAGAGACAATCTCAGGAATAGGTTTGACACATTGGACACTAATGCCCGAAGACCAGATGAGTAGTGGAATGACATCAAGGACATCATACATAAAGAAAGCAAGAGGTCATTAAAAAGAAAGGAAAGAAAGACCAAAATGGATGTCAGAAGAAACTCTGAAACTTGCTCTTGAATGTACAGTAGCTAAAGCGAAAGGAAGAAATGATGGAGTGAAAGAGCTGAACAGAAGATTTCAAAGGGCGGATGGAGAAGACCAAGTAAAGTATTATAATGAAATGTGCAAAGATCTGGAGTTAGAAAACCACAGGGTGGAACACGCTCAGCATTTTTTCAAGTTAAGAGAACTGAAGAAAAAACTCAAGCCTCAAGTTGCAATACTGAAGGATTCTACAGGGAAAATATTGAATGACGCAGAAAGCATCAAAAGAAGATGGAAGGAATACACAGTCACTGTACCAAGAAGAATTGGCCAGTGTTCAACCATTTCAAGAGGTAGCATATGAACAAGAACCAATGGTACTGAAGGAAGACGTCCAAGCTGCACTGAAGGCATTGGCAAAAAAAAGGCTCCAGGAATTGATGGAATACCAATTGAGATATTTCAAAAAACAGAGGCAACGCTGGAGTTGCTTGCTTGTCTATGCCAAGAAATTTGGAGGACAGCTACCTGGCCAACTGATTGGAAGAGATCCATATTTGTGCCCATTTCAAAGAAAGGTGATCCAACAGAATGTGGAAATTATCGAACAATATCATTAATATCACGAAAAAGTAAAATTGTGCTGAAAATCATTCAAAAGCAATTGCAGCAGTACATTGACAGGGAACTGCCAGAAAATTCAAGCCAAATTGCCAGAAGAGGACGCTGAACGAGGGATATCATTGCTGATGTGAGATGGATCCTGGCTGAAAGCAGAGAATACCAGAAGGATGTTTACTTGTGTTTTATTGACGATGCAAAGGCATTCAACTGTGTGGATCATGACAAATTATGGATAGATAACATTGCGAAGAATGGGAATCCCAGAACACTAAATTGTGTTCATGCCGAACCTGTACATAGACCAAGAGGCAGCTATTCGAACAGAATGAAACTACTTGGTTTAAAGTCAGGAAAGGTGTGCGTCAGGGTTGCATCCTTTCACCGTATTTATTCAATCTATGTGCTCAGCAAATAATCAGAGAAGCTGGACTATATGAAGAAGAATGTGGCATCAGGATTGGAGGAAGACTCATTAACAACCTACGATATGAAGATGACACAACCTTGCTTGCTAAAAGTGAAGAGGCCTTGAAGCACTTAGTGATGAAGATCAAAGACTACAACCTTCGGTATGGATTGCACCTCAACGTAAAGAACACAAAAACCCTCACAACTAGACCAATAAATAATATCATGATAAACAGAGAAAAGATTGAAGTAGTCAAGGACTTCATTTTACTTGGATCTGCAGTCAATGCTCATGGAAGCAGCAGTCAAAAAATCAAACAACGCATTGCTTTGGCAAATCTGCTGCAAAAGACCTCTTTAAAGTGTTAAAAAGCAAAGATGTCACTTTGAGGACTAAGGTATGCCTGACCCAAGCCATGGTATTTTCAGTCGCCTTGTATGCATGTGAAAACTGGATAATGAATAAGGAAGACTGAAAAAGAATTGATGCCTTTGAAATATGGTGTTGGTGAAGAGTATTGAATATACCACGGAGTGCCAGAAGAACGGACAAATCTGTCTTGGGAGCAGTACAGCTGGAATGCTCTTGGAAGTGAGGATGGTAAGACTTCGTCTCATGTACTTTGGACATGTTATCAGGAGGGACCAGTCCCTGGAAAAGGACATCATGCTTGGTGTCTCAGTCATCTAGTGTTGCTACAACAGAAGTACCACAAGTGGATGGCTTTAACAAAGATAAATTCATTTTTTCACAGTAAAGTAGGCTAAAAGTCCAAATTCAGGGTGTCAGCTCCAGGGGAAGGCTTTCTCTCTCTGTCGGCCTTCCCATCAGTCTTCCCCTGGGCTAGGAGCTTCTTCGCACAGGGACCCTGGGTCCAAAGGACGCGCTGTGCTCCTGGCACTGCTTTCTTGGTGGTATGAGGTCCCCTGTCTCTCTGCTCACTTCTCTCTTTTATATCTCAAGAGATTGCCTCAGGACACAATCCAATCTTGTAGATTGAGTCCTGCCTTACTAACACAACTGCCACCCATCCTCCCTCATTAACATGATAGAGGCAGGATTTACAACATATAGGAAAATCACACAATACCAGGAATAGTGGCCCAGCCAAACTGATACACACATTTTTTGGAGGACATAATTCAATCCATGACACTTGGTAAAGTAGACAGTGAGTGAAAATGAGGAAGACCCTCAAGGAGATGGACTGATACAGTGGCTGCAGCAATGGGCTCAAGCATAACAACGATTTTGAGGATGGCACAGGACAAGGGAGTGTTTTGTTCTGTTGTACATAGGGTCACTATGAGTCGGAACAGACTCGATGACAATAACAGCAACAAATACATGGTCCCGTATTATAGTTATTTTCTTAAGTCTTCCTCAGTCAAACCAGCATGATTGGATCCATCATTTTCCAGTAGATGAATGCTGGTTTTAAAAATCACTAACATTCTATTAAAAATGTCCAGAAAGGCTAAGAATTTATTTTAAATTTCTTATATTATGGGTCATTATTATTGGCATAGTAATTTCACAGTCATTTAGATATAATCATTTCATAATTATATATAATATATATATATATATATATATACATACACACGTATATGTATATATTTTGAGGTATAGCTTTATATTTCATTTATTGATAGGTTGAAGTGTTTATTTCAAGATCTGCCTTTTACTATATTTATGTTGAAGTCCTATTTATTTTCATTTTGATAACTCATTTTTTTTTACTTAAGCAATGCTATTATGTCTCCACCCTACATCTTGTGTCTACCTTTCATCCTGTATCCATCCATCTTGTCCCCACCCTCCATCTTGTAGCCACCTGCCGTCTTGTCTCCACCTTCCAATTTGTCTCCACCTTCTATCCTCATCTTGTCTCCACTTGCCATCTTGTCTCCACCCCACATCTTGTCTCCATCCACCATCTTATCTCCACTCTCCATCTTGTCTCCATCTACCATCTTATCTCCACACTCCATCTTGTCTCCATCCTTTGTCTTATACTCACCCACCTTCTTGTCTTTACTCTCCTTCTTGTATCCACCTTCCATCCTGTATCAACCGTCCATCTTGCGTCTACCCTCCATCTAGTCTCCATCCTCCATCTAGTCTCTATCCTCCATCTTGTCTACATCCTCCATCCTGTATCCCTCCAACTTGACTCCACCCTTCTTTTTGCTTCCACCTTTCATCTTGTCTCCATGCTTCATCTTGTTTACATCCTCCCCCTTGACTCCATACTCATTTTGTCTCCACCCTCCATCATGTCTCCACCTTCCATCTAGTACCGACCTTTCATCCTATATCCACCCTCCATCTTGTCTCTACCTGCCATCCTCCATCTTGTGTCCCTCTTCCATCTTGTCTCCACACCCTGTCTTGAACCCACCCTTCAACTTTTATCTACCCTCTATATTATCTCCATCCTCCATCTTGTCCCTATCTTGTCTTCACCTTCCATTCTCCATCCTGTATCCATCCTCCGTCTTGTCTCCATCCTCTATCCTGTTTGATAACTGATTTTTAATAGACTTTATTTTTTTACATAAATTTTAGGCTTACAGAAAATTATAAAGTATACAGAAGTCCCATATGCCTCTCTCCCCCTGCACATGGTTTCTTCTGTTGTTAATCTGTTTATATTTTTATCATTCCAATTTTGGGATAAAAGAATAAGATGTACAGATTTCTGTGATTTATTTTGCAGTCGATTAGCTCAGGAATGTGGAGTTTATCATTTTTAATACCACACAACACTTGCCACTCCTCTCATTCTGCAAGCTTTTCAGAAAAATTGCAGAATTTTTTTGTAGGTGGGGGCGATGGGCAGGCTTCATTCTCTGGTACAGACTAAGTGTTTGGGGGTTTATTTTAAACAGTCGACAGTTCTGGCTTGCTCTCCCTCCTCACACTCTGCTGCCGTGGGGACCGTGGGTGGCTCAGTCCACTTCCTCAATGTTGCTGACGTCAAGTCCCCTCGGGAAGTTCACAAGGCCTTTCTTTCCAAAGCTTCCGTGCAGGATGTTATGTAAGTACTGACGCTCCTGACAGCTACTTGGCCCAGTCTGTCTGTTGAGAATTCCAGTAAGGCCATAATTTCTTTTAATTTCAACATTCAAAAAGTACAAAAGGGTGAAAAGTCACCTGCCTCTGTCCCTCCCTCCACCCTCAGTTCCCTGGAGACAGCTTGTTACCAATATCTAGTGTCTCCTTCCAGAGATGCTTACCAACAAGCTAATAGATATGTATTTTTTACGCAAATAATGCGGGCGTGTCTGCATCCTACATTTTTTTGCCAACTGTGCTCTCCCCACCCCCCAGTTATTTTTGTAAGCATGCTATGCTAATTTTTTTCTTTTTTACTTTATCATAATAGTAGGTTTTCTTAAGAACTGACATTTGTGCCATGCACTACACTTTGAGGTGCTCTCATACATTGTAGCTTTTTGAATGTGATCTGTGCAACATCAGCCGAAAGATATTAGGTTTGTCCAGACTAGATAAATAGAAGAATTCAAGTTCAAAGAGGTTAAGCAAAGCCTTTGCCCCAGATTTCACAGCTAGTGTGGAGGAGCTAGGTTTTTGCCTCCCTGCTGTCCTTGCCAAGCGCTGCTGCCTCAAGCTCAGCTCTATTTATCAGCCTCTAGCATTCCCCCCTGGTCTTCTATATTATATTTTCTGGTACCTCTTCTTTCCACTTTTTCTAATTTGATGAAGTTGTAGAAATGTTTCATTACATTTTTCCAGGTGCCAGACATGGGATGCTGAAATGTCACAGCTATTGCTAATTCAAGAATTGCTTATTTCCAATTGAAATATTGAGAAAGCTCTACTGATGTACTCATTCACTTATGGCCAAACAGTTTGCCCATCTTTACTGAATCTTCTGTGTTTTTATAATTTGCACTTTGGAAACAGCATTAGCCCAGAGTGTAATGACTGCCTTTCTCTGTAATCATTTAACTTTTATAAAGTCAGATCATATTAAAAATCATAAACCATAGAAAAATTGGCTTTGAATATATCTCCATGTGATCATTTATTAAACTTGATTATCATCGTACTAGCGAAGCAGGTAGAATCTGATCATCAGATTCCTTCTTTTGTAGTTATGACCAGCGAGGAATATATCTGTTAGCTGGAACATCAGAAGGATACATCTTTGTTATCAATGCCAAGCCGTCAAGCTCATTTCAGATTCTTGGATACACAGGTACTATATTGAACATTTATTAATTAAAAAATTTAGTCAATTTATTCCGAAGAGTTTAAGGTTGTGAAGATGAGACTATAGTGAAACAATTATAGCACATTTTCTAAAATAAGAAACATTTAAATAACTGTTAAAAGTTGTTTAGGAGAATTTTCACATCAGATTCAGAGACATTTGGAGTATTAGAGTCATTTGCTTGGGACATAGTTGATGCAAAATAAAATTTTCTTAACCCAATTAATGATTTAATTAAGGAAATGATTGAACGTTTCTAATGTTATTATAAGGGTAAGTTATGTTGGGTTCTCTGTGGAATATTTTTCTAATAGAAATATCAAAAGCAAGTCTTACTGCAGGCATCTGTAATGTTTCCTGCTTTAATAAAATGATACCCAGATTTTTCAGTAATGTACAACCTAATGTCCAGGTAAACCAGAGATCTGGTGGAGGAGATAGCACTTAGGTGATAAATGATAAGAACTAATACTTTTGTCTCTGGCTTTAAGTACCAAATATATTTTTGTATATATTTCCCCCAAATATGTTTTTAAATCCATTAATTGATTTGTAAAAATTATTGTTTGCCTAAAACTAAACCCGTTGCCATCAGGTTGATTCCGACTCATAGTAACCCTTTAGGACAGAGTAGAACTGCCCTATAGGGTTTCCAAGGAGCAGCTGGTGGATTCTAACTGCAGACATTTTGGTTAGCAGCCGAGCTCTTAACCGCTGTACCACCAGGGCTCTAACACTGTATGCTTACTAGGTACAAAATGCAGAACCTAGGCCCTGTGCCAGGCTGAAGAGACCAAGGAGATAATTTAGTAGGAGAGGAATAGCAGAATGCTGTGTAGGCCCAGAGGATGAAGCAATTAATTCTGCCTAGTGTGAGGAAGGGAGTGGAGGTGTAGGGGAGGGGAACAGGAGGGAGGCACAGAGGATTGGATTGAGGGAAAGTTTTCCAAAGGCTTAAGTGGCTGCTTGATAAATTTTTGTAGGTGGAGAATGGGGCATATTAGTATTCCAGCTACAGATAAAAGTCTGAGCAAAGGCACTTGGAATGGTTAAGAAGTCTGGTATAACAGGTAAATGGAAGGGTTTACTAGAAGTTGACCCACAATGCAGTTGGCAGTGCAGTCTGAAGAATGAAAAGAGGCCTTGAATATCATTCCAGGGAGTCTGGAATTTGTTCTGTGGAACATCATGAGAAGATTTCAAGTTGGGACTGGCATGATTTGACTTGGCTTTTAGAGGATGACTATGGTACCGGTGTGAAGGATGGACTAGAAAGGCAAGAAAATAGAATAAAAAAGATAAATTAGGAAGCTATTGTGGTAGCCCAAGCAAAACATGATAAGCATAATAGTAGCCAACATTTATTGGGGAATTTGTTACCATGTGATAGCCAGTGTTCTAAACACTTGATGTAGTAACTCATTGAACTCTTACAGACAACCTTTATTGAGGTAGATACTAGTATTATCCTCATTTTACAGATGAGGCAACTGAGGCACAGTGAGGTTAAGTACTTGTCCAAGGTCACATGGCTAGATAGTTGTAGAGCCAGTACTCAGACTCAGGAAGTCTGACTTTAGGACACATGGTCTTATCCACAATGCACAAACCCATGTAATAGTCATGGAAAAGGAAAGGAGAGGATAACTGTGAGTGACAGAATCTGTAGGACTTGGCATCAGATTATATGTGAAAGAGACTCCTTTCACATATAATCTGATGAGTCATCAGTGACTCCTAAATTTCCAGCCTGGGTGCTGAAAGTTTGTGATGCCATCAATTGAAATAAATCTTGAGGAAAAGAAAGTTATGAAGGTTGGGTGATAAGGTGAGATAATAAACTGTGTAGGTTTGAAGCCAACAGGCTCTTCATTTGGAGATATTTAGCATAAACTGGGAAATTTAGATTTGTAGTTCAAGACTTAATGATAGAATTCTGATCTAGAAATCATAGAAGCTGATGGTATGGCTCAAGGAGACAGGGTAGAAGCAAACCCAAATGCTTGATGGGGCCAAACAGGTAACATCAACATATAAGTTAGACCTCAAAGAATGTAGGTCAATGGTTGACGTAAGAGTGGATGCATGTCCTTTTTTATTTTTTTATTTTTATGTATCTGGTTGGCCAGAGTGGGGTGGGAAAAGCTGGATAAGTGGTCCACACTTTTAACATTTAAGTTGTGGACAGAGGAAGATGAGGCAGTGAAAAAAACTGAAGGAGGTTGGCCCAGAGTGATGAGAAAACTGGGAGTCACCCATTCTAGAAAGAGCTTGAAGAAGATTGGATGAAGATGTAAACTGCTGCAGAAGTGTGAGTGAGCTCAGGACTGGGATGAGGTTGGTAGTTTACCCAAACAGTGGGTGACCTCTGGGAGAGGTACTTCTTTGGAATGGAGAGACTAAGAGGTTAGCAAGGAAGTGGAAGTGAGAAAATGAAGTCAGTACCTGGCAACTCCTATTTTAAGAAGTTTGCAGTAAAGAAAAGAGAGTTGGAATGGTAACTTGTGTGGGGAAGCAGGGTTGAAGGAAGGGTCTTATTTGAAGACAGGGGAGTCTTGAGGCCTGAATAGAAGGAACCATAAGAGACCCAAGAAAATAAAAGGGGATAATTGATAGCACACGGTCTAATAGATTGGAGGAATGGGCTCATAATCACAGACGGGAGAGAGTTACTTTTTGTTCCTAATAAATGTCAGGAAATGTAAGAGGAGGGTGGAACAAAAAAAAAAAAAAAATTGCAATTCTTGATAAGAAAGTTGAGGTTGAGTTTGTGTCAGATGTCCTCAGTGTTCCTTGGGAAGGGCTGATGTCAGGCCCTGAGAAAGCGGGAACATCCAGAACAGTAACCATGGAGAGAGGGAGTAGAGAATCTGGATTGGGCTCCAGGCATGACAGACTTTGCAGAGATTGGATTACCTGGATTCCTAAAGGAGCAAACTCATATAAAGTCATGCAGTATTTCCACCATGCCCTCAATACCTTAGCTGCAGATGCAAAAAACAGATTCTTGAGTTTACCCAATATGTTGTTAGCTGCCATCTAGTTGGCCCCAACTCATGGTGACCCCATGCATAATGGTACACATGTGATCCATAGGGTTTTCATTGGCTGATTTTCAGAAGTAGATTGTCAGGCCTTTCTTCCTAGTCAGTTTTAGTCTGGAAACTCCGCTGAAACCTGTTCAGCATCATATTAGGAGTGGGAAAAATGACTGGAGTAGATTTTCAAAGAACCGGAGCATGCAGGGTGCTAATGAGTGTGGTAGACATGGTGGACTATGCCAAGAGGCAGCTGGTTTGAATGTGCCAATCTAGGCATCAAATTAAGAGAATACCCCATACAGATGTCTGGGATCATATGTGGAACCCACCCACCCCCAGGGCTTGCCAGTAGTACCAGAGCTCTGCTGGGCCTGGCTGTGAAGCCCTGCTTTTGATATTCAGACCAGATGGTCATCGTTAAGACTAAGATGGGGGTGATCTCATACCACCAAGAAAGAACCACAGGGAGCAGAGCGTGTCCTTTGGACCCAGAGTTCTTGTGCAGAGAAGCTCCTAGTTCAGGGGAAGGTTGATGAGAAGGACCTTGCTCCAGAGCTGACAGAGAGAGAAAGCCTTCCCCTGGAGCTGACGCCCTGAATTTGGATTTCAAGCCTACTAGACTGTGAGAAAATAATTTCTCTTTGTTAACACCAGAAAGAAAAAGAAGACTAAGATGAACTCAAGTTGAAACCTTGTATTTTATAAAATGGGTGCTCAGTTAAAGAACCTGGTTCTCAGTTACATTTACAACACTTGGGACTGTGTTTTCTTTTACATTTTGTATTTTAAAACCTTATAGAGGAGTGCAGTGCTCCTTACACAAATACAGAGGGAAGAAGAGCCAGCAGTTCAGGCTCCTCAGTTGTAGTGCTAAAATAATACACAGTGACAGGTCAATGGTCAAAAAAAAAAAAGAGAGAATATCCCATTCATTCATCAGGAATGTCCCTGCCACTTATGTTTTAAGTTCACTTTAAATGTCCAGTAAATAAATTTGAATCTAAAAGTTTAGTGAAGGCAAGTCTATAATGTCATATCTTAATTGGGAAGACAAAAAGGTTCTTAAACTTATCAGTGACTTCTTGTGGTGTTGATTTTTGTTTGTTTTCAGAGGTGGGCAAAGGCTTTTTACAAATATCCACAGTGTCTGTTTTGGAAACTGACATAGTGGAAGTGATGGTGCTTATCCCACTTCCAGAAACAGAAAGAAGCAGACTGGAAATATTTACTCTGCCTACAATACTACCACAAGGTAAAGAAAGAACAAGCAAGCAACCCTATCCTGTGCCCAGATAAGGTGCTACTATGGCTATTTATTTATTGCTGGTGATAGCATGAACACATGAAGAGGTAGAATAGCTTCCTTTTGTGCGTCTTTACAAAGTGAAGCTGGCGTGACTGCTAAACAATTTGAATAAAATATTCTTCTTTGTTTTAGATGACAAATACAGCTTGTATGGCCATTTTGCAAATATGTAATTATAGAGTATTGTTGTTGTTGTTGTTAGGGGCCATCAAGTCAATTCTGACTTATAGCGACCCTCTGTACAACAGAACAAAACATGACCTGGCCCTGCCCTGTCCTCATAATCGTTATTGTTGAGCCCATTATTGCAACCACTCTGTCAATCCATCTTGTTGAGGGTCTTCCTCTTTTGGTCTTTACCAAGCATGATATCCTTCTCCAGGGACTGGTGCCTCTTAATAACACATCCAAAGTATGTGACACGAAGTCTCGCCATCTTATAGAGTATAAGAGACCTGAAAACCCTTTATGATTTATTTAAGAACTCCTATACCATCATATGGAGCTCTGGTGGTGTAGTGGTTAAGAGCTCGGCTGCTAACCAAAAGGTCAGCAGTTCAAATCCACCAGCCACTCCTTGGAAACCTTATGGGGCCGTTCTCTGTCCTATAGGGTCGCTATGAGTCAGAACCAACTTGACAGTGACTAACAGTAGCAACAACAATACCATCATATAGTTCCTGGGTGGCGCAAAAGGTTAACATACTCAACTGCTAACCAAAAGGTTGGCAGTTTGAGTCCACCCAGAGGCACCTCTGAAGAAAGGCCAGGCCGTGTACTTTAAAAAAACCATTGAAAACCCTATGAAGCACAGTTCTACTCTGATACACATGGGGCTGCTGTGAGTCAGAATGAACTCCATGGCAACTGGTATGGTATGTATGGTATAAACTATCATGAGTTCTTCTTAATGACATGTATCTACTTAATTGATGAAATTACTCAAGACCTTACAAAAGAGATTTTACCTACTATCAGTCATTTAATACTCAAGTATTTCTAATGGAACCAAGTTTGTTTTTTTATTACTTAGTAGCCTCTGCAAAAAGGAGCCCTGGACCAAGACCTCCACCAGACTGAGTCCAGTACAGCTAGATGGTGCCCGGCTACCACCGCTGACTGCTCTGACCAGGATCACAACAGAGGGTTCTGGACAGAGCTGGAGAAGGATGTAGAGCATAATTCTAACTCACAAAAAAAAAAGACCAGATTTACTGGCCTAAAGGAGACTGGAGAAACCCCGGGAGTATGGCCCCCAGATACCCTTTTAGCTCAGTGGCGAAGTCACCTTCGAGGTTCACTGTTCAGCCTGGGAGTGGACAGCCCAGTAAAACCATGAGAGTAACGAGGTACAGGAGTCCAGTGATAAGGCCCAGAAGGCAGAAGGGGAGTAGGAAGCTGATGATAGGGAACACAAAGTAGAGTAAGGATATTGTCGATGTGTTGTGAGATTGTTAACCATTGTCATAGGGCAACATTTGTAGTAACTGTTAAATGGGAGACTATTTTGTCTTGTAAGCCTTCATCTTAAGTGAGAATAGCAGCACAATTAGAAGAGCGTAGTCAATGTCACTTAAATGTGTATGTAAAAAAATTTTTGAAATGGCGTATCTTTGGCTATGTTTTTTTTCACCAAAAAAAAAAAAAAAAGTTGAGAATTTAGAGGGTTAGAATGTTGTGGGGTTGTTAACCAATGTCGTAAAACAGCATGTGTGTTACTGTTACATGAGAAACTATCTGTTCTGTAAGCCTTCACCTGAAGTACAATAAAATATTAAAAAAAAAAAAAAAGGAGCCCTGGTGGTGCAAGTGATTAAGTGCTCGGCTGCTAACTGAAAGGTCGGCACTTCTAACCCAGCAGCCACTCCACAGGAGAAAGATGTGGCATTCTGCTTCTATGAAGATTTACAGTCTTGGAAACCCTATGGGGCAGTTCTACTCTGTCCTATAGGGCCACTATAGAACAGGTTTGATTAATGGGTTTAGCCTCTGCAATATTAATTACACACTTTAAAATCTTATTTGACTTTTCATAGTTGTTCATAATGATTAAAAAAATAAAATCAATACATGATGCAAGTGATCTCTCCTCTTCCCCAGACCTCATAGTTGCTGCAAGCTTTGCTGATGAAAGAGGGAAGCTGAGAGATGAATTCATTCATAAGTACCTGTATGAGATCGAGCATGCTCTTTCCTCTGCAGTCTTGGACTTCCAAAGCCAACGAATTTTTGGCTTCTGCAGTCACGTGCCATACATCTGTAGCTATCTTCTTCCTGAAACAGTATGCCAAAACTTAAGTGTGCTATAATTTATCTTAGAAATTGAGTCATACTGTGTAGTAGTCAGACATACTCCTCTTAACTGCTTTAACGTATGAGTCTAGTTACCAAATGGTTTTGTTATACATATTGATATAATTTCCTTGCATTAGACATATGTTAGCATTATTTGTTAATCTGTCATAAAATATGTTTGAACCATCTCACATGTATGTCACATATATCCTGCTTTTCAGATAAACATGCAGGTGACACAGTATTAGTTTAATGCCTTTAAAAAAACAACCTAGCATTAGGAAATCTGTTCCATAGGTGCCCAGAGACTATATGGTAGATGATTTTCAGTGGAACTTTGCAGCTGAGCCCTAAGCAAAATTGCACAAAGTAATTAAGCTATGTTTGGGGCATCCTTTATCCTCTCTTCAAACTTCTCCCATATATGTCACCTCTTGCTGCACTGGCCCAATGCCCTCCTGCTGCCTTTTGGCCATTCAGAGTTCCCCACTGATGTCTGTCTACCTGCCCCGAGATTATCTACCACCCTTCCTCTCTACACCCTTCAGTCAAAGCCTTTCTCTTCCAGAGTATCGAATGAAGACAAGGTATTAGATATAGAAGTTCAGAGAAGGAAGATATGGTTTATAGCAAGGGAGAATCAAGAAAATCTTTGTGGAGGAAGTAATATTTGAACTGGATTTTGAAGAATAGGTCAGATTTCAACATGGAGAAATATTGTGAGCAGTCTTAGGGGGCGGGTGAAGTGGGGAAGTCATGCAAAAGGGCATTCCACACAAAAGGAAGGCTGTGTGCAGAGGCATGGAGGTGGGAACACATGTGACACATAGAGGAAAATTGTCTAATTTATCTTGAGTTGAGCATGGGATATATGAAAATGATTAGTAAAAATAAAAAATTGTCAATGTAGGCTGGGATCTTTAACAGCAGGCTAACCTATAAAGAAGATTTTTCTTAGTTGGCGGAAACAGACTTTTATTTGCAAACAAAGATGAAAACTGCAAACACCGGTGCCAACTTTATCATCTATCAGTTTTTTACCAATAACAGTGTTTGCAGGTTTGCATATGACTGTATATGCACATGGACCCCTGGTGGTGCAGTGGTTAAGAGCTCGACTACTAACCAAAAGGATGGCAGTTCGAATCCACCAGCTGCTCCTTGGAAACTCTATGGGGCAGTTCTACTCTATCCTATAGGGTAGCTATGAGTTAGGATCAACTCGGTGGCAACAGGTTGGTTTTTGGTTTGGTATATGCACAACTGCAAACCCTAAAGTGCTGTCCCCTTATCTTTTCTATAATGTGATCATTTTCTTTGATTGGCAGGAACATACTGGTGTTTGCATTCTTAAACCACTCCAAAAAGTGAAAAGCAGACATTATGGACATGGAAAGCTGTATCTGTCTTCTCATGGATTGTGGCTCTTAACAGTAGCTAAAGGTGGAATTCTGTATATCCGAGATGCTTATACTTTGGTAAACTTTTTTTTTTTTTTTATTCTGGGAAGTATATAGTGATCTTGTATAAGGAACAAAAGCCCTTAGAAAAAGAATTGGAACTCTTTTTTAAGTAAATTGATTCGTAACTTATTTATCAGTGCTGGTATTGTTGACTTTAAAATTTCATTGGCGTTTTTATGTGTAGTGGTTTTCATCTCTAAGGGAGGGAACTCCAACCAGTAGAAGGAGATGTGCAAATCCAGAGCCCTGGGTCTGGGTACCAGAGATGAGCTCTAGCCTAGCACCTGCATCAGTTAGCTGTGCGTGTCCTGGCAACTCACTGAGCTTCACTGAGCTTCGGTTGCTCATCTGTAAGACTAAGAAAGCCATGCTTGCTCGCTCACTCTTTCTCTCTTGCAGGATTCTGGTGAGGGCCAGTGGGACAGTGTATGTGAAACTGCTTGGACATAGAGAATCACTGTGCAAACATAAGGGATTATTACTGAGCTCTCCCTGTCCTGAAGGCCTCCAGGCTGCTTGCTGTTGCCCCACCCTACTCTTGGCTGGATGCTGAGAGAACAGACAGAGAAGGGTGTGACCCTTAGTGAGTCCTCCCCGTCATTTGCACACCTCAATGCTTCTACCACCACTACTACCATTTCTAATTTCCATTGTTTTCATACCTCAGAAAGTAAAATTAATTCTTTCTCCCAAACAGCTGGGGGATACTTTTCTGGGTGTACTGCTCATAAGTATAACTTAATGTGCTCAGGTTTCTACACCACACACCTGAGGCCTTGCTTCTACCCACATGACACACTCCCATGAGGCCGTACATAATCCTGACCCCTCTCACTCACCTCTGCAAGAAAGCATATTTGGAATACAATTGGGCAAAAGTGATATTACTAATATATAGGATAAATCTGGAATCTCCCAGAGATTGTTTTTAAGTGAACTGTTTGCACACTCTGCTACACTCTTTCGTAGGAGCCCTGGTGGCACAGTGGTTAAGCGCTCGGCTATTAACCGAAAGATTGGCAGCTCACCCACCAGCCTCTCCTCAGGAGAAAGATGTGACCACCTGCTTCTGTAAAGATTACAGCCTTGGAAACCCTGTGGGGCAGTTCTACTCTGTCCTCTAGGGTCACTATGAGTCAGAATTGACTCAGCAGCAATAGGCTTTTTTTTTTTTTTTTTGTCTACACACTTTCTTACTCAAAGGATTTGTAATATATATTACAACTGATAGTGACAGGACATGGCAAGACATCAAGAGTTGTTCTAGGCTATTCTATCACTTATACTAGCAAGAAAGCACCTCATGTAAGATTATTCATGGCAGCACTGTTAGTAAAAGCATCCTAGTGTCCATTAACAGAGAAATGGGTACATTAATAATGGTACATGAATAATACATAAATAAAGTATGTATAAAATAAAATATTATGCAGCTGTAATACAAAGTGAGGAAATCTTTCTGCAGTAATATGGAAAGAACCCCAAGAAATAATGCTGAGGAAAAAGCAAGATGGGTCATATATGTATTATGCTACAATTTGTGTAAAAAGGGTATGGGGATATAGTCTAATTTGCTTATATATGCATTTAAAACGCCTGAAAGGAGGCTTAAGTTACTAATTACATTGATTGCCTGTGGCAGATACGCGTGGTTAGGGGATGGGGACAGGAAGGAGACTTTCATTGCATATTCTTATATAGATTTTGAATTTTGAACCATTTGAATGTACTGTCTGTTGAAAAATAATACTTTTTTTTAAAAAAGACATCATGGTTGAGAACCAGTGTGAGACAAAAATCTTAGCTTTTAGTCAAGGAGTTTAAACCATTGCTCTGTGTACCAAATTAGTGTAGATATGTTTTGTTTGGTCAGCGAAGTATTTTAAGAATTGCTTTAATTAGAATCCTCCTAGTGGGACATGTTATCTTCTACTCTCGACAGGGCCCCCCACCCCTCTTTCATCACCCTCAGCCTCTTCACACATTGATGAAACCAGCCGAATTCCTGAAGGCATCTGCATTTGCATCTCTGCTTGCCCAAGGTCCCTCCCTCACTTTGTAGCCTTCAGCAAGTCCATTAACTTCTTTGTGTCTAATTTTCCTGTTGTGAATCGATAATAATTACCCTCTTTCCCTACTACTTGAAGGTAGTTGGAGAATGAATCAGTATTTGTAAATGTGTTTTGAACTGGTGATTTTAAGTGCTGTGTATTACCAAAAGGCTACTGTCATACCAAATAAAATGCTCTTCACACATAGAAAAGGATTTACAAAAACCCAGGTAGTCCCCTTAGAAAAGCCATGTGGTAGACTTGCATTTATAATTTCTGCATTTTGTTCCTGAAACTGTTTAGGAAACCTTTGCTCAGTGTCGGAGTCATTCTTACCAGGGGCAAGGGATTCAGTCATTGAAAGTTTCAATGGATGGACAAGACATTCTGGTGAATGGGAGAAATGACGGCACCCTTGTTTGTCTAAAATGGAAGTACGTATGGTACACAGTAAACACCTCCACGAGGCACGGGCTGATTAGCACTCTGTTGTCAAACTCCTAGAGGAGCAAAGGGAAGGAGGATAATTCTGAATAGTAGATAACTTTAAAAGATCATAAACCAAAGCCAAACCCATTGCTGTCAAGTCGATTCCAACTCATAGCGACCCTATCGGACAGAGTAGAACTGCCCCACAGAGTCTCCAGGGAGCGGCTGGTGGATTGGAACTGCCTACCTTTTGGTTAGCAGCTGAGCTCTTAACCATTGCACTACCAGAGCTCCTAAAAGATCATACAGACCTCTAAAAACCCTGACATATATATGTATGTATATGTAGACACACATACTTACTTTCTTAATTAGATTTTAGTTAAACTAATATTAAATTATTTAGATTTTGCTTAGGTTAAAATAATTAAATACTACCCAAGCACAGAGATGACGACTGAGCGGTAGAGAGCGTTCAGTGTGCTTGTGACATGAAAAAGACAGCCTGAACTTCAAAGAGTGCCTTGTTTCATCTGCAGATGGGCTGTCAAATACTGAGCTAAGTGGTCAATGTGCAATTCAATTCAGCAAACATAATGTTTCATGGTGCCTCCTGTGATCAAAACAGTGATAAAGCACGGCCTTTCTCGGCCTTTCTCGCTAACATTGTGAGCGTGTTAAATATTGCTGAGATATTTGTGTCATAACAATTTTGGTAGCACTTTATTTCAAAAACCATCATGCCTGTTTTATTCATTAAATTCCTGAATAAAATGTTAACTTGTATCTCACTCTCTAACTGGTTGCCGTCGATTGATTCCTACTCATAGCAAGTGATCATGTATGTGTGCACAGTCCCTGGTATGTTCTTAGGGCTCAGTCGTCCCGGTGGCTTTCCTATGTAATGGCCACAGTGGGTACAGAGGACATGTTGGGTAAGGGTTTGGGGAGAGCATGAGGACAGGTCACCCCAGAGAGGTCAAGAGGCTTGTGGTGTCCTATAGCCCATGAAAGGGCTCTCCTACAAGAAGTAGAGTCTTAATTATTACAGAGCACTGTGGAAAATTGTCCACATATGTCTTACTTTGTGCAAAAATGGTTATATATCTGGAAATAATACTGCTAAATGTAATTTTTTTTAATTATAATTTTTGTCACTTGTGTGTTTTCTTTCTATTAATATAGGCGATTTGGAGGAGTCTTAGCCACTGACAGTCTTCACCACTACTTGAAACTTTCAACTTCTCTGAGCAACACCATGGATGAGGAGAATGCCTGTATGCATACAATAAAAAGAGATTCCTTAGATTTGGGATCAGATCATGAAAAAACAGTTGAGTTCCAGTGTAGCTTTCTTTCTCTTTTTAAATTAGAGATCAACTTGCAACTTGTGGTTTTCTTTAAGCAGATACTTAGTAATATTCTTCTTTATACAGGTGTTCCATGATTTTCAAAAAGAGTATGAGCTACATCTGAGATTAAATATTCAGATTTTCTCAAAGCAGTCACAAATATTATATCTCAGATGTCATTCAAACCATAGTACGAAGATCTGGGTTTCCCTGAAAAAAAGAATTGTACTACCAATACTGGTGCTTTGCCAAACAGGTCTCTCTATAATTTTATATCACATATATTATTTAGGAGGAGTCCCTAGGTGGTGCAAACAGTTAACATGCTCATTGCTAATCAAAAGGTTGGTGGTTTGAGGCCACCCAGAGACACCTTGGAAGAAAAGCCTGGTGAACTACTTCAGAAAAAAATCAGCCATCGAAAACCTTATGGAGCACAGTCCTACTCTGACACACATAGGGTCGCCATGAGTCTGCATCAACTTGATGGCAATTCATTCGATTTTTATTATTTAGGAAGCTCTTAGCCAGAAAACAACACTCAATCACTCACTTAATAAATATTCATTGAGAGCCTACAGAGTTCTAGGCTGTAGGGATGTAGCTATGAATAAGATAGAAAAAATCTTCTGCTTTCATGGAGCTTACGTGCTAATTGGGGGATGGGAATGGACAGGGAGAGGCTGATAAATAAACAAGAAAATGTTAGATAGTGACAAGTTCTATTAACCAAAGAAAAATAAATTGATGTGATAGAGTTTGTCTAGATAGTCCCACTGGGAAGAAGGCATTTAAGCTGAGATCTGAAAATTAAAAAAAGTGCCACAGGACGCAAAGGTAAGTTTGAGGGGGCAAGAGTACTTAGGGCCAAGGGAAAAAGTTTGAAAGAGCTCGGTGTGTTTGAGGACCTAAAAAACGCCTGTACAGTTGAAGTGAACAAGGGAGAGAGTGGAAGGAGATGAGGACCTGCAGGTGGGAAGAGACCAGGTAATGCAGGGCTTTGTAAACGGAGCAGAGAGTTTGGACTTTATTCTACATGCTGTGAGAACCTATTGAAGTGTTCTGAGCAGAGAATTAACAAGATCTTATTTACATTTTTAAAACGATCATTTGTTGCTGTATGGAGAACGTTTCCTGTAGGGGAGTAAGAGTGGAAACAGGAGATTAGGAGGTTATGGCAGAGGTCCAGGTGAAGATGACGGAGGTAGAGGATTGGTTGTCTAGAAGGAAAGTGGTGAATTTCAAATAGGTTTTGGAGGTAGAGTTGACAGAACTCGCTGATGGGTTGGACATAGAGGGAAAGAATGGACTCAAGGATAACTCCTAGAATTTTGAACAACATAAACAACTATGTAGAAGATGGTACCATCCACGGAGATGAGGAGGACTGGGGGAGCAGCTTTGGGAAGGGAGAAGGAAATTATGAAGTCAGTTTTACCTATGATGAACTTCAGAAGCCTATTAGACATCCCAGTGGAGATACCAGGTAGGACATTGGATAGATGAGTCTTGAGTTCTGGGGTGACGTCAGGATTTGGGTTGCTGCTTTAAGATTCAAGGGCATATAGATTGCATTTAAGGTCTTGGAAGAGTGAATGGCAAGAAAACAGAAGGGGGCCAGGACAGAGCAACTTCTAGAGATCCCCAGAAGAGTTTGGGGAAGCAAAGTAGACTGAGGAGAAGCGATCAGTGAGGTCAGAGGAGAACCAGGAGAGTGTGACATCCCAAACTCTTTCCAGACATTTTGTTGCAAAGGGGAGCCTAGAAATGGCATGGTAGTTAAAGGGGAATTTGGAGTTCAGTCGAGAGTAGTTTTCTTAAGATAGGAGGTACCAGGGCAGGTTTGGATCCAGTAGAAGGGAGAAATGGAAGAGGCAGAGAGAGAGAGGATAATAAGAAAAGTATAATGACCTGGAGAAGGAGGAAAAGATTAGATCCTAAGCACAAATGGGAGCCCTGGTGGCACAGCGGTTAAGAGCTCAGCTGCTAACCAAAAGGTCAGTAGTTCGAATCCACTAGCCCCTCCTTGGAATCCCTGTGGGGCAGTTCTACTTTGTCCTATAGGGTCCCTATGAGTCAGAATTGACTTATATCCTATAGGGTCGCTGTGAGTTGGAATCGACTCAATGGCAACGAGTTTAAGCACAGATGAGGGTAGGGGTCATGCCTTGATGGGCAGGGGCACTTGGTTCACAGTAACGAGAAGAAAGACACAGAGTGATTTAGTGACAATGTGACCTGTCTGGTTGTTTCTACTTTCTCAATGAGAAATGTGGCAAGATTATTAGCTAAGAGGGGGCTGATAGTAGCAGAAGAGTGTGTAGGAGGTTTAAGGAGATGAAAAGATGTGAAATAGTCATTTTGGAGAGAGCAAAGTGAATATGTTTGAGAAATGTAAGATTTCCAGTCACCATTAAGTGCCCGTTTAAGGTTAACCAGGTAACTGTGTGCCCCAGGTTTCAGGGGACATTCCTGGTGTCTTGTCTGATTAGCACCTATTTTCACTCTCAGAAGTGTCCCAGTTTGGACACCAAATTTTGTGGCTGCCTAGTTCATGGCCATGAACTTAAAAGTCAGGCCAGTTGAGTGGTGAGCTTGTCTCAAGTTACATTTATGAGCCCAGTATAGGCATGGCGTAGGTGGATTGTTGAGTTTAACAAAATTTGGGGCTTTGCCAGGTGTGTATGCTGGAGAGACAGACATGGGCAGAGAGGTAAAGAGCGATTATTATGGAATCTAACCTGGACAGGGAGGACTGTGGTGGGTGAAATTGTGTGTGTGTGTGTGTGTTTTTTTTTAGGGAGAGAGGTGCGGGTCAAAGGATTGCAGCATCTGTGAGCCAAAACACTTAGTTGCTGGAGGAGGAGTTCTGTGGGACAGGAGGCTGTGGATAGACATCAAAGTGGTTGCAGTTGAGATTTTGGGCATGGTTGTACAGGATCAAGGATATGGCCCATGGAAGTGGATGGCTGCAGTGGAGTGGACGTAAGGTCATTATTATGTTTTCCTAAATGTGATAACTATGTTTTTGAGTTTCCGACCAACAAATAGGAAACCACTCAAAACTGTTTACATCACTGATGGATTTAAACTTTATAAAACACACGGAAAACTTAAATTTAGAAATAAAGGCCGTGCCTTCACCATCCATAAAGACTTAGGCCTAGTATCTGCATATTCAAGGTCAGAAAGCCAGTGTGGAGGTGAATGGTGTCATAATCATTAAGTTTCTCACCGCATGCGGTATCATGCTAAATGTTATGTTGAACAAATTTAATTGGCCTCCAGAAGTCTGCAATTTAAAACCAATTGTGATTACCAAGAATGACACCAAGGACAGACTGGTAGGAATTAGAGTAACAAAACATATTACATCTTGGGCAGGCAAAATGTTTGGTATTTAAAAAAATGCAACAAATGCAAAGGGGTTCAAGGCAGTTATATGCAGTAAGGTGGGAAGAGAAGAACTTCATGAATTTTAGATTAAATTTAAGAATTATCTGTCTTTTCTTCTAAGGCATCTGGGATAAAGCAGCTAAACATTGACTCCTCACAAGAAGAATTAGTCTCAGCTCAGGACATGAAGGAAATTTCCTGGATAGAAGCAAAAAGTCAAGAGGTAAATAAAACATGGGATATGTTTGAAATCATGCTCTGTAGGTGTGCCATACAGATTTGTTTCCTATGAAAACCTAGTGGAAAGTTGCAAAGTAGAACAAGGTACCACTTGGCAGAGCATCACGTTCTACAAGTGTAACTTTCCTGAAAACAAATAAAAACCCTTAACACAACCAAATCTTTGAAAGACAGATGAACGTTACGAACTGTAACATGGCTAAATGAAACCTGACAGAAGTGCCCAGGTGAGGCAGAGCAAAGAATGAACTGTGATACCTACCTTGGAGTGATTTATTGGAGATGCTGGGAGGCTAACTTTCTTTAAGGAGGGCAGGAACAGGAGAAGGGGGATGGTGGCTTCCGGTGCAACTGGAGGTGAAATAGATAGCAGATTGCTTATAGTTTGTGTCTGGATTTAGCCCGCTTATCTAGCCTCACGTGAGTTCCCAATAATATAGCATATTGGTTTTCCTTTCTCAACTCTTCACTATTTAATTTTTCACTGCTTAGTTTCTTTTGGATGAGCTTATAATTGACACTAGGTCCAAGGTGTTTCAGCGCTCACTTACATAGTAGCAGTTAGACTTAAGCAAGGGATTACAGTTTTGTGTTTTTTTTATGTACCCTTTATATTGTCACTTTTTAAAAAAATATGTGTTTGTAGAGAGGTTCTATCTGTCTGTCTGTCTGTCTGTCTGTCTATATAGTCATTGTTTCCCTTGCTTCATTAAGTGATATACTCACTTCATTTCAGGCCATCAAAAAAGAGGTTAACCAGTTCTCCAAGAAAAGGAAAGAGATAAAAAAAGGAATCAAAGCACTTGCTAAAACGGTAAGTGTTATGATTTTACGTACTAATACATTTGGCTCTTGGTCTATAATTACTACTGGAACTTTATTTTGTTCAACATAGCATGAAGAACTATACCCATTTTTCCTTCTCTGCATACAAGCTCAGTTTTCTGGGGTATTTTAATAGGGTACAATTTTGATCCTATCTCACTACTTATAAGCAGTGATTTTCTTCTCTGTTTTTCCCAAATACTGTGCCATACTTATTTTTTAATACTTATTTTTTATCAAAGTTATACATGTATATTTTTACAACTTAAATAGTACTGAGTTGCATAATTAAAAATAATGTTTTTAAAGCAGCATCTCTCTACTTTTCTTCCTGTTGATGCCTGCTCTCGAGAGGTAACTGTTTTCAATTCTTTCCATTTTTTCTTACGGTATTTATTTCCATCTTTCTCAATGGTATTCTTAATACTGTTATTTCCTGGTATTTCTATTCTGACACTAATTATGGACTTCTTGATATGAAAGATGAGTATTTAGGTTCTTTTAAACCCCCTCCCCCACTACAACATAAATCCATGCTCAGTATGCACATTATTAATGTAAATATTCTTCGTATGAGTTACATTGTATATTATGATTGTTGTTGTTGTAAGTGCCATCGAGTCCGTTCTGACTCATATTGACCCATGTGACAGAGGAGAACTGTCCCATAGGGTTTTCTTGGCTGTAATCTTTACGGAAGCAGATTGCCAGGTCTTTCTCTTGCAGAGCCCTTGGGTGGGTTCAAATCGCCAACCTTTTAGTTAGCAGCCAAGCACTTAACTGTTTGCACCACCAGGGCTTCTATATTACATTTCCATTATTACAACTTTATTTTCCCTGGAATTAATAATTTTCTTAGTTTTGTACTAAACCTTTCTATGTACCTAGTTACCTATTCAGACACTCTCGAAGTGCTAGAAAACTCTTCTCACTACACTCAAATACCTGAGGTAATCAATCTGTCAGTGCATCTTTTTCTTGGCAACCTCCCTCCTGAAGCTACTAGTCTGAGCACCTTGCTATGTGGACCAAAAGCATGCTGTTGTCCTAGGGACTTCTCTTCCCTGTGTTCCTGGGAATCCCCTCACCTGCCTCCTGAGTCAGAATCTCTGTTTCAATAACCACAGTAAACCCACAACTTAATTCTTTACTCAGTAGTTACATTTAGATAAACAGAATGTCTATTTTTTATTGATTATTATCTAATGATACTAGAAAACCCATTTCTCTAAAGTTTAATTCTTTGCTTGCCACCACCCTTTCCTATTTTAAAATTCAGGTTCAGAGTATGATGGAAGAAAATGAAACAGTAGACTATATTGCAAAATTAGAGCAACAGGAATTCAGCCTGGATCTTGAGGAGTTGGAAAGGCTTCATGACGAAAGTGAGGAAGAAGTGGCAAAGGTATGGAAAATTCTAGTTGAAGCATCATAAAGTTATAAGGAGAGAAGTAAAAGGAAAACAGGAAAGAGAACTTTTCTAGAATAATGCAAATAAAGCAAAAAAATTCTAGTATAATGTGAATGAAGCAAAGTTAAACCAAAAAAAACCTGTTGCCATTGAGTCAATTCTGACTCATAGCGACCCTATGGGACAGATAGAACTGCCTCATAAGGTTTCCAAGGAGCAGCTGGTAGATTCGAACTGCTGACCTCTTGGTTAGCAGCTGAGCTCTTCACCACTGTGCCACCAGGCTCCAAAGCAAAGTTAGTACATATAAATAGAGTGAGTCAGAGAATCATTGAATTTTGGGAATAAGGAAAGGAAGAGCATCTAGGACAGTGAGACATCTGAAGCTTGTCTCTCCTCTGTGACATCCACACCAACCATCTTCCACCGTATGTATGAACAGTTTTAGAAATCCCTTCGGCCACCTCATGCCAACTTTGGACACTTCTGGTTCAGTAAGCCTTTCCTCATTAGAGTTGAAATCTCTCTCCCTATACTCACTGCCCCTTCTATTCTTTGAGCACCATCTATTCTATGGCCTCTCTGAAGATGGTTAGAGAAGATAAGCAATTATCATGTTCCCTGTGTATCTCCTCTTGTCTAGGAGAACTATCCCAGCTCCTATGACCATTATATAATGTAGTTTTATTAGCCTCATCATGCAGTTTTCCTCTGAGTTCATTATATTTAAGTATAGCACCTACAAAAGAATTTCAGTTATGATAGGTCTGGTTTGAAGAAAAGCATAAACTGAAACCTCCATGCTTCTAGATACTATACTCCTATTAACCCATCCTTTGCGTTCTGTTGTGCACATGCACATGCATGTGTGTGTGTCACATCATATTGTTTACTCATAAGGATTTTATTTTAGGTAAAAATCTCTAAGTCTGTTTTCTACCAGCTGTTCTCAAGATCCATCTTTCCTGGATAGTACATTTGTTTTTCTGAGTGCAAATATGTTGTTGTTGTTGTTGTTAGGTGCCATCAAGACGGTTCCAACTAGTAGCAACACTATGTACAACAGAACAAAACACTGCCCGGTCTTGCGCTTTCCTCACAACCATTGCCCATTGATACAGCCGCTATTTCAACCCATCTCATTGAGGGTTTTCTTCTTTTTCACTGACCCTCTACTTTACCAAGCATGATGTCCTTCTCCAGGGACTGGTCCCTCCTGATAACATGTCCAAAGTACATGAAATGAAGTTTCCCCATCCTCACTTCTAAGAGGCATTCTGGCTGTACTTCTTCCAACACAGATTTGTTCCTTCTCCTGGAAGTCCATGGTATATTCAATATTCTTCACCAACACCGTAATTCAAAGGCATCAATTCTTCTTTGGTCTTCCTTATTCATTGTCTTCATTGTCCAGCTTTCACATGCATATGAGACTATTGAAAACACCATGACTTAGATCAGGCACACCTTAGTCCTGAAAGTGACATCTTTGCTTTTCAATACTTTAAAAGGTCTTTTGCAGCAGATTTGCCCAGTGCAAAATGTTGTTTGATTTCTCGACTGCTGCTTCCATAGGCGTTGATTGTGGATCCCAGTAAAATGAAATCCTTGGCAACTTTAATCTTTTCTCCATTTATCATAATGTTGCTTATTGGTCCAGTTGTGAGGATTTTTGTTTTCTTTATGTTGAGGTGTAATCCATACTAAAGGCTGTAGTCTTTGATCTTCATCAGTAAGTGCTTCAAGTCCTCTTCACTTTCAGCAAGCAAGGTTGTGTCATCTGCCTGTCACAGATTGTTAATATAGTTGAGCTTCTCAGATTCTTTGCTCAGCATACAGATTGAATGAGTATGGTGAAAGGATACAATCCTGACACACACCTCTCCTGATTTTACACCATGCAGTATCCCCTTGTTTTCTTCGAAAGACTGCCGTTTTGGTCTACGTACAGGTTCCACATGAACACAATTAAGTGTTCTGGAATTTCCATTTTTTGCAATGTTATCCATAATTTGTTATGATCCACACAGTTGAATGCCTTTGCATAGTCAATAAAACACGGGTAAACATCTTTCTGGTATTCTCTGCTTTCAGCCAAGGTCCATCTGACATCAGCAATGATGTCCCTCATTCTGTGTCCTCTTCTGAATCTGGCTTGAATTTTTGGAAGTTCCCTGTTGATGTACTGCTGCAATCGCTTTTGAATGATCTTCAGCAAAATTTTACTTGCATGTGATATCAATGATATTATTTGATAATTTCCATTCTGCTGGATCACCTTTCTTTGGAATGGGCACAAATATGGATCTCTTCCAGTCCGTTGGCCAGGTAGCTGTCTTCCAAATTTCTTGACATAGATGAGTGAGCGTTTCCAGTGTCGCATCTGTTTGTAGAAACATCTCAGCTGGTATTCTGTCATTTCCTGGAGCCTTGTTTTTTGCCAGTGCCTTCAGTGCAGCTTGCACTTCTTCTTTCAATACCATCAGTTCTTAATCATATGCTACTTCCTGAAATGGTTGAACATCGACCAATTCTTTTTGGTACAGTGACTCTGTGTAGTCCTTATATCTTCTTTTGATGCTTCCTGCATCGTTCAATATTTCACCCATAGAATCTTTCAGTTTTACAACTCAAGTCTTGAATTTTTCCTTCAGTTCTTTCAGCTTGAGAAATGCTGTACGTGTTCTTTCCTTTTGGTTTTCTGACTCCAGGTCTTCGCATATTTCATCATAATACTTTACTTTGTCTTCTTGAGCTGCCCTATGAAATCTTCTGTTCAGCTCTTTTACTTCATCATTTCTTCCATTTGCTGTAGCTACTCGATGTTCAAGAGCAAGTTTCAGAGTCTCTTCTGACATTCATTTAGGTCTTTTCTTTTTTTCCTGTCTTTTTAATGACCTTTTGCTTTCTCCATGTATGATGTCCTTGATATCATTCTACAACTCATTCGGTATTCGGTCATTAGTATTCAATTCATCAAATCTATTCTTGAGATGATCTCTAAATTCAGGTGGGATAAACTCAAGTTTGTACTTTGGCTCTCTCGTGACTTGTTTAAATTTTTTTCAGCTTCAGCTTGAACTTGCATATGAGCACTTGGTGGTCTATTCCACAGTCGACTCCTGACCTTGTTCTGACTGATGATATTGAGCTTCTCCATCATCTCTTTTCACAGATGTAGTTGATTTGATTCCTGTGTATTCCATCTGGTGAGGTCCACGTGTATAGTCGCCATTTATGTTGTTGAAAAAAAGGTATTTCCGATGAATAGGTCATTGGTCTTGCAAAATTCTATCATGCGATCTCTGGCATTGTTTCTATTGCCAAGGCCATATTTTCCAACTACTGATCCTTCTTTGTTTCCAATTTTTGTGTTCCAATCACCTGTAAATATCAATGCATCTTGATTGCTTGTTTGATCAATTTCAGACTATAAAAGTTGGTAAAAATCTTCAATTTCTTCATCTTTGGCCTTAGTGGTTGGCATGTAAATTTGAATGATAGTCGTATTAACTGGTCTTCCTTGTAGGCGTATATATATTATCCTATCACTGATGGTGTTGTACTTCAGGAGTGATTTTGAAATGTTCTTTTTGACAATGAATGCAACGCATTCCTCTTCAATTTTTCATTCCCAGCATAGTAGACCATATGATTGTCTGAATTAAATGGCCAGTACCAGTTCATTTCAGCTCGCTAATGCCAAGGATATCAATCTTCAAGCATTCATTTCATTTTTGACAACTTCCAGTTTTCCTAGATTCATACTTTGTACATTCCATGTTCCAATTAATAATGGATATTTACAGCTGTTTCTTCTCATTTTGACTTGTGCCACATCGGCAAATGAAGGTCCTGAAAGCTTTACACCATCCATGTCATTAAGGTCGACTCTATTTTGAGCCAGCAGCTCTTCCCCAGTCACATTTTGAACACTCTCCAACCTGAGGGGCTCATCTTCCGGCACTATATCAGACAATGCTCCGCTGCTATTCATAAGGTTTTCCCTGGCCAATTTTTTCAAAAGTAGATTGCCAGGTCCTTCTTCCTAGTCTGTCTTAGTCTGGAAGCTCTGCTGAAACCTGTCCTCTGTGGGTGACCCTGCTGGTATTTGAAATACCAGTGACATAGCTTCCAGCATCACAGCAACATGCAGGCCACCACAGTATGACAAACTGACATGTGAGTGGTGGTGCAAGTATAAAAATATTCTCTGAACAAGAGAATGAAATAGACCTGGATTCAAGGATATTTAGGTGGATTATAACTGGCTCAACAGCTACACCAAAAGGAAGCTGGTTATTTGACTGATGTATGTAGGAGGGAGGTTTCCACTTAAGTGCCCCAGGACTCTGTCAAATGTTTATTAATGACTAAGGTGAAGATACAGAAATGAGACAGGCTTGTCAAATTAGTGAATGAAATGAGGCTGGGAATGACAGGAATATATTGGATGACTGAATCAGGATGGAAAAAGACCCTCAACAGACTGACTCAATAAGATAAAACTGACCTGAGATCATCATTAATCCATGCAGCATTTTACTGAGCACATAATGCTAGTCACATTTATGCTAGTCACATTCTAGGTACTGGGGAGGTAACAATGAACAAGACAGACAAGTGGCATGGTGGGTCTACACCTCTGCCATGCACACACCAGTGCATGTGCATATGGGTGCTTCAGCTTACCTCTGACCCTCCTTCTTACCCAATGAGGCATCTGTCCTCACACTCTACTTTTTCACATGTATGACCTGCTACCTTTAGAGGCACTTGTGTTGACATACAGTTCTCAAGGATTCCTACAGATATCAATTTCAGAAAACATTCTCAAAGACAGAGGAGTATTCTCCCCAAAGTGCAACTCAATGGGTTGGGGACAGACAGTCAAACTTTGTGTATAACAGTGACTTGTTGTTGTGTACTGACAAGTCAATTCCAACCTATAGCAATCCTATAGGACAGAGTGGTCAGTAAATTTGAAAATTGAGATTATTTTTTTAAGAAGCCGCACTTTCACTTTTGACTTTTTCCTTCATCTGTATTCTTCAAGATAAGAAAGGACGCAGAGATGGATAATCTAGCCAAGAGATATTTGGCTGAACTTATCAAAGAAGAATGCTGGAATTCGATGGCTGTGAAAGGTCGAGCTCTTAAGGTGACATATAACCCTGATACAAACCTGGAATGATGAGAATTTTCATTGCAAGTCTCATGGCAGAAATTTTTAAATATATTTGAGAAAATCCGTACATAGCAAATAACTCAAAACTTCCCTTTTCCTATTCAGCAGTCTACAGAATTCCACTGAGATACATCATTTTCTCTTGACCACCTTCTTTCCTCTCTGCTCGTCCCGCATGTGCTGCTTAGCCAGAATCTCTCAATATTTGCCTTAGCAGTCCTTTCCTTCTTTTCCTCTGCAACTGGGTCTTAATATCTGTCTATTCCAAAAGACCTCATTCACATTCCACACAGATAGAAAGCTAGACATCATATTGTTCACATTTCCAGCTGTGCCTTCTTTCATATTTGCTAAAGGGCTTCAGTATTGCTGTTCCTCCCAACAGAATTTCCCTCTTTGTGTAGCGTGATCAGAAGTCCTGGTTTATGCCTGTGGTCCTTGAGTAACTATTAACTGCACCTCTTTCACTTTCAGGCATGCTGCCATTTGGATAATGAAGTATATGGTCACCCTACATTTATGTGACTGACTATTGCTGTAGAACAAAGTTTCTCAACAACAGCACTATTAAGCATTTTGGGCTGGATAATTCTCAGTTGTGGGGGACTATCCTGTGCATTGTAGGATATTTAGCAACTAGACACCAGTAGCACCTTCCCACCTCAGTTATGACAATCAAAAATGTCTTCAGACATTGTCAAATGTTCCCTAGGGGCAAAATAAGTCCATTGCCATAGAGTCTATCCCGACTCATCTCAACCCTACAGAACAGGGTAGAACTGCCCTATAGGTTTCCTAGGCGGTAAATCTTTATGGAAACAGACTGCCACATCTTTCTTCTGTGTATCAGCTGGTGAGTTCAAACTGCCAACCTTTCGGTTAGCAGCCTAGTGCTTAACCACTGCACCACCAGGCCTCCTTAGGGGCAAAATAGCTCCTAATTAAGAACCACTACTCTAGAAATACATTCTTCAAAAAGCACGATATTTTTATACAAAGGTTACACCAACACTAATAGAATATATTATTTTATTTTAAAGATGTTTCCATTGCCAATTTCACTTACGGATGATATTCTATTTATGATATTAATTTCAATAGGGGAAAATACCCTCCATCCAGCTCACTCCAGATATACACAGTTGTACTAAAAATTGATTTATTTCATCTTTGGTTCTTTTCCCTAGTGCTTTCGCTTACCCTATATGGTTGAGAACTTCCCAATGAAAGAGCGCACAGCTAAAGAGTTGAAAGAATTGGAGAAAGTTTTACAGCAAAAGAAGATTGAAACAGAATGTCTTAAAGTACAGTTTTAAATACATATATGTTTTTATGAATTATGCATTTTATTTCAGGGTCTCCATATAGATTTGAGTTGACATGCAATTTAAGATAAATTTAGATATTGTTTGTATTTATATTTTCACTCCTTGTTAATTTGTAGAATATATTCTAATGAATATCCTATATCCACACAGTAAATCAGGGACCTGTATACTGTACAACAGTGACTAGTGTTCAACTATGAGGATATACTGAAAAATGAGATTTGGGGATATTTTCTTCTCCTGGTCAGAGATTGTCTTCATTCATCCATCCATACTATTTTTATTCTCCGTTATCACCAGGGATCATATTTTCAGATAATTGAGTAAGGATGGAATCGAATCTGTTTTCACAGAGTCAGGGTATTCTTAAAGCAACACCAGCTTCTTTAGCAGCAATCTCTGTCTAACCACTAAAATACACAGTCTCTTTGATGTAGTTTTGTTTTAGCCAGAATTTTGCTTCTTCTCTTTTTCTGAAATATAAAATGGAGGCATATTTAATTCTTTTTAACCTACACCCACCAGTCCTATGTGAACTAGTTGCTTTATAAAATATAAAGAGAAGATATATTTTTTAATGCTTAGGTACCAAGAAAGTCTGAAAATAGTTAGAAGCGGGGGTGATCCTGACACAAAAATATATGCATTATATACCAGCAAGGACAATTTTTACCCTCTTGATTTATTCACAGTTTCTCAGTTTACGAAGCTTTAATCTGTTCTGTAACGGTTTCAGGATCTATCCATCACTTTAAATTTAGTTGTTGGCAAGAGAATTTAACATCTTAAAATGATTGTTGAGATGATTAAGTTGTAAAAAAAAAAAAATGTGCTTCAGAGAATTCTTATTATTAAATAACTTCCATGTCATCTTTTTCTATATTTAGCTACGAATGGAAATTGTAGAAGCCCAGTCTGCAGTTTCCTTGGGTAAAAAGCATCATGAAGAGGATGATGAAGAAGAGGAAGAAGAAAATGTGACAGCAAAAGATACCAATTTGCCCAATTACCTGCTTGGCAGTCTGAGTACTGATTTTGGGGTGGATACCTCTTTTTTGTCAAGCCAGTTGGAACTTCATTCGAGAGAGGAGAAAATCAACCAAATTACATTACTGAAGGTGGGAAGATTTTCTTTTTATCCTCAAAATCTCTAAAATTCCCCCAATCAGATGTTTTTCATGGGCTCACATTGAAATCTAATGTCAATCAAATGAGGTCTTTAAAGTACGGGAAGAAATATACAGATGGCTAGTGTGCATGTCCTTGAGACAGTGCTTGTGTACAAGAATTGCTGTCATCCATTCAGACTGAGTTTTATTATACCAAGGTTTCTAAATAACATCTTACACTGAGTGGCACCACAAACCATTATTCTTCTGCGTAGATCTTTAGTAAGTCCAAAATAAAGGAAACCCTTGAATGCCATCTTCTGTGTAACTCAGATGTCTGCTAGAATTTCTTGTAAGGTCAAGATATGATTACTTATCTATCCCCTTAATCTAGGGAAATAACAATTTCCTTTCAAAGATTTCTATAAATTCTGGGGCTCAGGGATAAGGCATGGGGTCCTTCTGGCTCTGAACTCCTACTCCTTACTTTCCACCAAGCAAATCAGTCTCAGAGTACATCTGTATATGTAGAAGACCCTACTGAAGGTTTTTGAAAATGCAAGAACTGAGATTACACCAATGCAGATAATTTGAAATTTAATGCTGGATATTTCTATTCCTGTAAGTCCTTCAGCTGTGTCTGGAATTTAAGTCCTAGCCTCCTGCCATGTTGCTCAGCTCTCTCTTCCTGTCCTCCTCCAACCCTTGAACATACTGTTCATTTATACTCAGAACTCGGAACATTTATACTCAGAAGTTATCTCATTTGTTGCTGAGCTTCCGCTGACCCATGTCCTCAGGGTCTCACCTTCTGGCTGCTTTATTAAGGTATTTTCCTATGCAAAGGTACTTTCCAGCCAAGGAGAAATTCTGGTGCTAGCAGTTAAGATCATTTTTCTACCCTACTTCAGTAGTTTCATCTTCACCAGGGTAGATATATAGACTCTGATGGTAAAATAAGGCCTACTTTGAGTTGACCCATTGCTCTACTCATCAGCAGCGGTAAGAGCAATCCAGTTGAACCTACGCTATTTTAGGAATTGGCTGATCCGGCTGGCTAGCTTAGGTTCCCTTTCTACTTGAAAATGACCTGTCCATATAGAGGAAGAATATTGTGCATGCTCGTGTTTTTCTAGGAGATTCTCCAAACAACCTGTAAGGCCATCTCCTCCTCTCCACATCTCCCCTAAACTAGGTTCCAAATGAAAGACATTTCCCAACTTAAATCCTGCATACCAAAACCCAAACCAAACCTGTTGGTATTGAGTCAATTCTAACTCATAGTGACACTACAGGACAGAGTAGAACTGCATCATAGGGTTTCCAAGGAGCAGCTGGTGGATTTGAACTGCTGACCTTTTTGGTTAGCAGCCAAACTCTAAACCACTGTGCTACCAGGGCTCCAAATATTGCTTTTAAAATACTTTATGATTGATTTTTTGAAAAACACCTACAGAAGTAGAGAGGATAGCTCAGTGAGCCTCTAAGTACCCATCACCCAGCTCCAGCATTTATCAACATGTCTGTATATTGAGTTACAATTTACGTTTCAGGAATAGGCTGTGGTGTAATAGTTATTGCTGTTGACTTAATCCTACCTCAGGTCAGATGCCACTGTAGATTACTGAACCAAAAAATGACTTAATATAAACAATATTTTAGAAAGATTAATTTACTGATAATTTGTGGAATGACTTTGGAAGGGAAAGTAGGATTGTGGGATCATGTTGCCAGTAAAGATATAATTTGTGACATGTTTTCAGTAACACATTGATGTTTCAGGATATCATCTACAAGGTCAAAACTGTTTTTAATAATGAGTTTAATGCTGCATATAAACAAAAAGAGTTTGAAATTGCACGTGTGAGGGAGAGAAATGTAAGAATTCAAGAAATTATTTTAGATCTGGAGTTGGAAGAAACGGTCTGGCAACCAGAATTTGAAGAATGTGAGAAGCCGGAGAGAACCCTTGTTGTGGAAGATAGTGAGGTACTGGCTGGTTATGTTGTCCCTCCCTTCTTCCTCAGGACACTCTCCTGACCTCTTATTTATTCATCTTCTTGTTCACACTGCGGGAAGTGATTGTATTAGGCAGCACTCTTGTTTACAAGTAAGAAAAAGAGTTGACATAGCCTCAGCAATAATGAGGTTTCTTTTATGAGTTCCCTGGAGTCCAGAGAAGATATGGACGCTGAGCCTAGCGAGAAGAGGAACCAAAGACTGGAGCTTGTGGGGGGTCCAGAAGTCCTCTTTCTTCATCTCTTAGCTTACTTCTTCCTGCATTTCAGCTTCCTCTAGCAGTTTCTACTTTATATCTCCCCCGTTCAAAAAAGCAGCTGGTCTGAACTAGAGTCAACTCCTGGCCCAGCTTGGGTCCATTGCCTGTGCACAGGGAGGTTGGGTCACATGGTAGAATGATGCTAATGGAGCTCCAGTAATTACCTAGGTCATTAGGTGGTATGGTTCCCGAGAAAGGGGGCTTGCTGGGCAGCCTTGTTAAAGGGTGTTCGATACAGAGGTGGTTGCAAATAAATCCTTAAAGAAAACTATTAAAATGTGGCCATATTTCACTTTTCAATAATAAAAAATCTTAGAGACTACTCAAAGAAAACCCCTTGCTCGCATGAAGCCAACTTGATTACTTTGGGGCAAAAGATAATAGCAGCGCTTAGAAGGCATATAGTTCCTATTAAATGCCAGTCACGGTTTTAAGCACCCTGAATATATTGAAATTAATTTATAATAATAAAATCTTACAAGGTAGATACCAATGTTACATCCATTGTGCATATGTGGAAACTGAGGCCCGGAGAGGTTAAGCTGACCACAGTTACAAAGCTAGTAAGTAAAAGAGTTGGGGTTTGAGCCCACGCCATCATGCTTCAGAGTCCATCCTCCTAACCTCTACACTCTACGACGCTTGCTTAAGCAAGTTGTTTTTTCCTGAAGCAGACTCTTGTCATGTGATCTGAGACTGGAGCAGCGTGATAGCAAGGAGCTCCATCTGCACCTCTTGGGAGGATCTTGCTCTGCTCAATCACTCTGTACCCACATAATTAAATCACTACAGTAGCTTCTTCACTTACTCTAATCCATTCTACATTGAAGAGAGTGTCTTGTTACAAGGTGAAACTTACAGTGTTTCTCCCCTGCTTAAACCCCTGTAGTGGCTGCTCATTTCTTACGATAAAACCCACAAGCCTTGTCCTGACTGCCCACCCCCATGCCCCTTTCTTTTCCAGCTCCTCTCCCCACCTTGCTTTGTTCTGGCCACACTTGTGTACTTACAATTACTTGAATGCCCTAAACTCTTGACATCTGAGGACCCCCATCCTCCAGGATTTGGCTTAGATGACACTTCATTGGACCGCCCCCCCCGCCCCGCCTTTACTCTAAATCAGGTTCTCTGTGATGATCTCCCCTCTTGAGTGATAAGACAGGCTTTTTGAGTTAATAGAGAAGTAAAGACCTATTTTCCAACTCTCATTTTAGACTTCATCTTCATTCCAACATAGGAAATTGGTTGCAAAATCTGGATAGTCCTTTTTAATCTCCTTACTTCCTTCTAACCTTCTCCTAGCGAAAGTTTGACCTGAGTTTTGTTGAGAATGATAGCAGAAAACTTATTGTCTCTTTTAGATTACAGTTAGCAAACATGTAAAACCGTGGAAAAAAGCCAAAGACGAACTGATTACAGCCCAGAGAATAGAGCAATGGTTTACATTCCAGGTATGCAGTGTTGCTCAAACAATACCTAAAACCTTCCTAATTTAATTTAATACTCTTGTACTCCATTATAGAAACATATCTAGGCATTTGTCAGTTGGCCTCCATCTCCTCTCCCCTCCATGCCGGTGCTCACCTTTGCCCCAATCCTAAATGCAGTCGTTCTAACATTGGGTGGGCTGCTGCCCCTGGCACCATCCACAGAGTGTCAGACCTCTGTCTTAGCTGCCCTCTCTGACCTTGGCTCTTTCCTAGGACTCCGACATGAGACATCGAGCCCTGATGGACATGATGGGAGGTGTTCTGGAAGTCAAGAAGGAAGATATCTTGAGAATGGTAAGGTTTTTGACCATCCTCACAGAAAGTGGAATGGGATGAAAAGAGTTACTTAAATTGTACCATTTTTGTCTTATATAAACCTGAGTTTTAGATATTTTACAGCAACAAATACTACACAACCTCTTAAATCAAAACCCATTACCGTTGAGTTGATTCTGACTCGTAGTGACCATACAGGATAGAGTAGAACTGCCTCAGAGGGTTTCCAAGGAGCAGCTGGTGGATTTGAACTGCCGACCTTTTGGTTAGCTGCCAAATGCTTAATCACTGTACCACCAGGGCTCCTCACAACTTCCTAGTACTTTATAAACATATCACACTAGGCAAATAAAAAGAACTTTGAAACATCCAATCTGACAAAAAGCAAACAACCACAGTAGATTTTGGTCTCTTAAGAAGGCAAGGGTAATGCTGTACCTGTAATTCTCTGCATACACCAGGGAGCATTTTTTTGATACCCGATGTAGATGTTTCTGGAGCTCAGGCATAGTTCTAACTACAAAGATATCAGCGTATACCTCTGAGTCTGTCGTCTGAGGGTTTGGTTGGGTACATTCCAACTTCTAAAGTCACAGAAAAACACCTTTTCATGTCCTTTGATCAAAGTGTCAGGTCATTGTCCTTGCCAATGTGAAGAACTGTATCCTTTTAAAGGGCTCTTTTTTAGTGTAATACTAATTCTGAGCTTTTACTGTACTGCTACATTTCTGTTTAAGCTGGAGTATAAGCTTTCCCTTATATCTTTAGGTGATTCCTCAGCCTGCTTTCATGACAAAACCTGATGCTGTGTGGTCTGAAGAGGAAAGGAAACAATTCAAAGACTATGAAAAAAAAGTAAAGGAGCTAAATGAAGAAAGAGATAAATATAGAAAGGTCAGAAGAACAAAGAATTAATATAACCTACCCTACCCAAGATTCTATTCAGTATATCTCAGTATCTTTAGTAGCCTAAGAATAGTTTTTCAGCAAGTGAAATATATAATAATATATTTGGGGGAAGTGGGTGGAGATAAATGGAAAGACTTAGAACAATTTAAAACAAAAAGAACATATAGCAATGGTTGAAAAAAAAGAGTTGTTTATTTCTCACATTGTTACAATTTATTTGGTCCTTCATTTATTCTGTCATGTTTAATGAACACCTGTTACAGAATTTCAAGGTACTGCAAGGTATAGCCTGTATTGTCTACATCAGTTTGAGTTAGGTAATGCTTTTGCTTGATTTGTTCTTAGTCGCAAGGGGAAAGGATGTGACAGAAGAGTGAACACAATTAATGCAGCACATACTTTACAGCTCTAATTTGTGGCTTTGCACCTCCACTTGTACACTCAATCACATCCCATCTCCCCTACTCAATGTCGTTACTACAGCTCTTCCCCGCTCTTTTTCCTGCATCATCAATTTTTTCCTTTCTACTAGATCATCCAATATCAGCATAGACACATGCTGTAGTATCTCTCATCTTACAAAAAAAGACTCCCCTGAAGGAGATACAGATCCTTGAAGGAGATCTTGTGACTTTGGGGTTAGTCTGAATTTATTTCAAAATGAAAACAAAACAAAAAACTCTCTGACTCCACTTTCCCCTTCATTCGCCTCTCCATGTCTCTGCTCCCCTTCACAGCAAGACTCCTCAAAGACTCTACGTTCACTGCCTCCAATTTCCCTCTTCTCAATCTTAAAAACAAAAATTGTTTATTGTGGAAAACGTCAAACATACATAAAAGTAGAGAGAATAGTTATCGTCAACCTCTTATCCAGCGTCAGCAAGTACAACTCATGGCCAGTCTGTTTCATTTTATACTTCCACCTACTCCCTAATCCTGGATTGTTTTTGCCTATTTTTATTTTGAAATCATTCAACCTACAGAAGAGTTGGCGTGAACAGTACAATGAACCAATGAGCATCCATATATCCTTCTCCTATACCCATAAATTTTTAATAATTAGTCTATCTTTTTTTTTTGGCTAAATTATTTGAGATAAATTGCAGACGTCATGGCGTTTCCAAATACTGCAGCGTAACAATACTAAGAAAAAGGACATTCTCCTATATAACCAATAAAATTATCATACATAAGAAGTTTAATATTAATATGACACTGTTATCTAATATACAGTTCATATTCCAATTCCCCCAATTGTCCCAAAAATGTCCTTCATAGATTTTTTAGAATCCAAAAATCTAATCAATTGCATTTTGTTTTCACATCCTTTCGTCTCCTTTAATCTAGTACAGTTTCGTGGCTTTGTGTGTATATTCCATGACATTGACATTTTAAAAAATCCAGGCCAGTTGTTTTGAGAACATCCCTCAATTCGGATTTGATTGCTTGCTCATGATTAGATTCAGATAGAATGCTTTTGACAACAGTGCTACATAAGTGATGCTATGTCTTTCTGAGTGCGTCACACCAGGAAGCACCTGATGTCGGTCGGTCCCATTATTGGTCATGTTAAGTTTGATCACTTGGTAAGGTGGTATTCTTCAGATTTCTTCATTATGCAAGTTTATTTCCCCTTTGTATTTAATAAATAATCTGTGGAATGACATTTTGAGACTACTTGACTCCTGTTCATCCAGTGTTTTAACATCCATTGATGATCCTTGCCTGAATCAATTATTACTATGATTTTGACTCATAACAACCCTATAGGACAGGGTAGAACTGCCCCATAGGGTTTCCAGGGAGTGGCTGGTGGATTCGAACTGCTGATCTTTTTTGGTTAGCAGCTCAAGCTCTTAACCACTGCACCACCAGGGCTCCAATTATTACTATGGTGATTGCAAAATGGTGGCTTTCTAAATTCTATCATTTATTCTGTATTTATTAGTTGATACTCTTCTGTTACAAAGAGCTTTGTCTTCTTTGTCCCACTCAGGCCCATACTTTTTAAAAGTTTTGTTTTAAATGTAACATGTTTTAATCTGTTACTATCATTATTCTTTTTGACATTTGGAGTGTTCTGAGCTCCGTCATATTGTCTATATCCTTTTGATATGTCCCCATCAGTTTTTGAGCACTTTCTACATTTCTAACACAAGATGTTCAGGGCACACCTTGTAGTTTCCCTGCCATATGTCTGGAATCAGCTATTTTTTTAAAGATCCCCAATTCCTTTTACTGGGAATTGGTATTTAGAAATTCATATCTGGGCACTAAATGTGCATAGAGCTAAATATATACATATATACACATATTTCCCATGAGTTCATGAACACCAATCCAAACAATCCCCCAGAGTTCTTTTACAACTCTACTAAGTCAATTTTAAGTTTTCTTTGTGCTCCTTTTTATTCTTAGAATATATTCCACTGAAGATGCACAACTAGCATATAACGTTCAGAAGTTATTTGGACCAATTCTTCTTTTTCTTCTGTGTGGACAACATCATCAATATGATATACAGTTAGATTCTTTAAGCAATAGTGTTCTTATTTGAGGGGAAAGGAGTTGATAGGTCTTGTGATTTTGTGATTTTCTTTTGTTTTTGCAGGACTGTTAATTTCTACCTTTTTCTTCCTTCTTTCCCTGCACCACCAAGTCTTCAAGGGACACCTCCTTCTTCCAAGTTGCCTTCTTCCTACCCCCCACCAGAAGCAGTACCACCTAAGACTGCACCTGGTCTGTCTTTCACCCTGCTTTATTACATTAGTCTCTCTGCTTTCCCCCTTACTCTGATCCTGGTATCCCATCTCCTTTTGTCTCCTACCCCTCTCTCCCTCATTAACTGTTCCAGCTCCACTGACCTCCTTGATGTTCCTCAGAGACACCCAGCTAACTCTTAACTCAAACACCCACAGGTAATTCTTGCTGCAAGGCCTTGATGCATGCTATATCCTTTGCCCAGGATGCTCTTACCCCATCTCTGTTCAGTTGTCCCCTGTATAACATGGTAAATTGTCCCCCATCCTGCTATATTTCCTTTACTCTGCTTTACTGTATTTTTTTTATTTTTAAACTTGTTAATCGATTGTCTGTCTCGCCTACTAGAATATGACACGAGGACAGAGAATTGCTCTGTTTTGTTCACTATTATTTTCCCAGTTTTTAGAACTATGTCTGACCCATAATAGACACTCAATAAATACTTGTTGAATGAGTGGATGAATTTATTGACACCTGTTATGTGTCAGGAGCCCTGGTAGTGAAGTGGTTAAGAATTTGGCTGCTAACCAAAAGGTCAGCAGTTCGAATCCACCAGCCACTCCTTGGAAACCCTATGAGGCAGTTCTACTCTGTTCTATAGGGTTGTTATGAGTCAAAATCAACTTGCCAGCAAGGGGTTTGGTTTACGGGGGATTCTATGTCAGGCACTTTCCTAGGAACTGGGGATTCATAGACTAAAAGATACAGTCTCTGCCCTCAGGGGCTTACAGTCTCCAGTTAGCTAAGACAAACCAAACCTGTTGCCATGGAGTCGATTCCGACTCATAGCGACCCTATAGGACAGAGTGGTACTGCCCCATGGGGTTTCCAAGGAGCCACTGGTGGATTCAAACGCCGACCTTTTGGTTAGCAGCTGAGCTCTTAACCACTGTGCCACCAGGGCTCCCAGCTAAGACAATATACTCTTAAATTGCAGGCCATTTCATATTTTTTTCAGGGCTGGTAGAAATTGTTGGTGGAATGGATTTTTGCATTGCTCATACATGCCTACTTCTTGGCCTCTCATCTCTCATCTTCCCTGATTCTCACTTCTCAGCATCGTTAGGCAAAATTAGATTATCCTGGGAATATTTGAGGAAAAGTGACATTCATGCCTTAGATATTCCTTGAGTGCCCACTATGTGCTTGGCACTATGTGAGGTCTTGAGGGCTACGTGGTGAACAAGATAGATACGGCCTCTGCCCCTCACTGTGCTCACTGTCTGGGGAAAAGGGAACATATATTAACTAGATGCTCGCAAATTGTTTAACCACAATGTGATAAATTAGCAAAATTGCTATCTTTGATGGTAAAAACAGAGGCGCTCATAAAAAGAAATGTTCTGGTATATGGATGGACCTTGAAAACATTATGCTGAATTAAATAAGTCACACAAAAGGACAACTATCATATGATCCCACTTATCTGAAATGTCTAAAATAGGCAAATATGTAGAGACAAAAGTTTATTAGTGATTATCAGGGGCTTCGGGGAGAGGGGAGAGGGAGTTATAGTTGAAGGGGCACTGAGTTTCTGTGTGGAGTGATGAAAAACTTTTGGAGGTGGATAGTGGTGATGGTAGTACAACGTGGTAAATGTAATTAACGTCATTGAATTGCACACTTAAAAATGGTTTAAATGGCAAGATTTTTGTTATATATATTTTACCATACACACACAGGAACAACAAAAACAAAAATCAGAAATGCTGACTTATCTCAGGGGCTACCATTGTTCACCAGGTCCCCTGTACAGCTGGTGCACCCCTCCCCTAGAAGCAATGAGTTACACCTGAGATCTTCTCTGGATCGTTGTCCTGGTCTGTTGGGAACAGCCTTGTCCAGAGACACCTGCAAGATTACACCACTGCCTCCACCCACAACAGCCAATGACTGACTGATGGGGCAGGGGAACAGAAGTCCAGGCCCAGCAGAGCCTCTCCCACTACCCTGCCCCCCATCCCTGGGAATCAGGCCAAGGCTGGACCATCTGAGATGACAACGTTGCCCAGCTCCTGCCCCTTCCCTGCCCTGCTTCTCTCTCCCTTACAGTTTTTTCCTGAAGAGCACTCCTTCAAGAAATTACGTGCACTGGAATCCTGTTCCTCCATTTACTTCTAAGACTTAAGACAGGGCCTAAGACAGGGCCCAAGACAGGGCCCAAGGGAGATTCCTTTGAGAAAGTGACATTTATACTTGGATTGGAAGAATGAGAAATAGAGAACAGGTTGAAAAGACAAGAATGAATGAGCAGATAGATGAAAATCACATGAGAAGGGCCTGCAGTGAGGAGAGTTTGGGGCATTTGAAGAACAGAACAAAAGGCCATTTTGGCATTATATATAAATACTTCTTTCCAGGGTCAGAGAATGTCAAAGGCCTGGGACCTCAGTGTTTTACACAAGGGTGGGTTGGGGACAGTTGGACAATCTGATTTCAATAGAATGAGTCGTTGGCCATTTGCCATGCGATATTGATTCCATCATCTCAGAACACCTGAACTTGATAAACAGTCACTAGGAGGCCACCATCCATGGGACTCTTTCGTTCCTATGAGATACTGATAGGAATATTACAAGCAAATTGACATTGAGATATGCTCCTTTTGTATTATAGTTTAATATCACCAATAATGAAACAAATCAATATCATGTGTCTCCTGATATAGTACACTGAGGAGGACACAACATGACTCACATAGTGTTATTACTAAAAATGTATCACCTGAGTCTAAACATAGGACAAACTTAAATGACATTCTACAAAATAACTGGCCTGTTCTCAAGCACCTGCAGTTTTCTCTGAAATGGTTCAAAAAAGAAAGATTTACTGTAGTTTTGTTCTACTAAGCCTACTTCTGCCTACATCATTAGCTATGATTAGTGATTTTTAGCCTTTTTTTCCTCCAGTGTAATCTTTTTTAAGCAAAAAAAAAAAAAAAATTGTTTTAAGATTTTTTAAAGATTTTTAAGCAAAGATCTCAGACACACACTATATTAAACATAGCCAAGTAAAGCATCTCTGGTTGAGTGTTCTGGGGTGGACGGCCCAGAAAACTCACTCTACCTGACCCTCCTCTGTGCCACCTCAGAGAAAAATGTAAACACTGCTTACTAGGAGCATTTGATATTCCTAAATGTTAACTGTACTACTGACTTCCTTTCAGTCGTTAGAAGCAGAACTGAAGAAACTTCAAAACAGTATTCAAGAAAGCACACAGGCCTTCGATGAACATTTAAAAAGACTCTTTGAGAGGAGAGTGAAGGCAGAGATGGTTGTCAACCAGGTAAATAAAAGCTTTGTTTATATGACTTTTTATCTTAAGGAGCCTCAGGGGCCTTCCATTGTTCTTAGGATAAAGACTGACATTCTGAACAGTGGTAGAGGCCCTGCGTTCTCTGGACCCTGGCCACCCTCCCCTCTAGCCACAACTCCCTCTTTTAGCTCCTGGAACACACTCAGTGCTCTCCCTCTCTCCCTCCTCATATCTCTGCCACTTCCTTGTGTTCTGTCCTGTATCTACTTATCCTTCAGTTCCAGTTTAAAATTAGTTCCTCAAACTAGTTTAGATCTTCCTATTATATGCTCTGTTCTGTTCCTTTCTATCACTTATTGAAACTGAATTTTAGTTCATGGGAGATTGTTTTTTAATGTTTCCAAGATTATAAGCTCCACGAGGGTAGAAATCAAGCCAGTTTTATTCATTCCTATATTCTAGCAACTGGCAAAGGACTTGGGTTACAGTATGTGTTGATGAATGAATAATCCTCATGCCTCAAAAGTTTAGATGAAAAACAAGGCTTAATTTCATCCAATAGTAGGAATATAAATGAAATGTACAGTAACCCCAGAAACAAAGCTAAGAAGTGATGCATTTAAATTCTGAGGGAAAATTATTTCTAACATTGGATTCTTTAGCCAGCCAAACTGTCAATTGATATAAGAGGAAAAGAATAATATTTTGAGAATACAAGGTCTCAAAAATGTACCTGCCAGGAATCCATTCTCAGGAAGCTATTGGATAGATGTGTTGCACCAAGCAAGGGGTTAAAGCAAACAAGATGACACAACACTGGAGAGAGGTGAAGGGACTCTCCAGGGGAATTGGTGTATCATCAGAGTCCCAACAGAAATGTACACTGAAAGGGTCAAATTGAGCAGAGTTTAATAAAAGGACCTTTTACAGAAGCATGGGCAAGGTTAAGGGAAACAGCAAGAAATGATGAAACACCTAGGGAGTAGAAACAATGGGAAGGTAGTTGTCATCTCTGGGGCTGAAGAGCAATGGAAGGGAGCTGTACCAAAGCCAAGCAAGAGCTGTAGCCCCTGGAGAGGGACTGCTCTGTGGGAGTTACAGCCATAGACAGAATATAATCACTAGCCTGACAGGAAGGAAGGGGGGGTGAAGGAGGGGGTGGGGGGGCAGGGGGGGGCAGGGAGTGAGTACCCCAGTTCTCTCATCTCCTGTCTCTGATTTCCCGTTGGTGCTTCCCATTGGATAAACCCCCAGGAAGCCAGAGGGCAAGGAGCCTGGGTGATGCTTAGCGGCCTGGGGCACATAGTATAATAGAGACGAATGAATATGGAGCTGGAGGAGCAAATAGCAAAACCCCACACAATGGTGGAGGGAGATCCCAGTCCAGATTGCAAGAGGATGGAATACTCCAGAAGGGATAACCTGTTACTTCGATTCTGACTCATAGCGA